CTTTCTAACTTCAAATCCATTTACAGTTGCTTTGTGATCAGGCCAGAGGGGAGTTCTAGGGGCTTCAGTCAACTTTCACCTCCCCCCACCAAGTTCTGTGCTTGCTGCTTCTACCATTCTCTCTGCTTATCTCCAGGGCTCACCCACAGTGAATTGACAGTATGTTCACCCATCCATCCATCCATCCATCCATCCATCCATCCATCCATCCATCCATCCATCCATCATCTGTTGAGTGTCTGGCATGTGCAGGCAGTCTGTTGGGCTCAGAGGCTTAAAAACTCAGCATGACAGACCAGAGGAGCCAATGGACAATCACAAGGCATGCTATGTGCTCGGCATACAGGGTGCCAGGGAGGCCCAGGCATGTGTGGAACATCTGAAGGAGCAGAGTTGGCCAGGGAGAGAGAGTAAGCAGCCTCTAGAAAAAGCTCCCTTTTGGCCAACTTGAGGGAGCTTAGCCAGGAAGGCAGAGAGAGGAAGAGAACAGTCAGGAAATACTGTAATCATATAAAGTGGAGTGCAATTTATTTCATGGTGCACAGACCATGAGAAATGCCTAAGGACAGCCCTTTCAAGGATCCTTTCTCTGCTCTTGGAAGCTTGCGAGGACTGTTTGGGGGAGAGGTTCGGGCCCCACAGAAGGTAGATGGCTACTCGTAGTGACCCCTCTTTCTCCAGGCCATGCTTCCTGAGAGCCCCCAGATGGTGACTTGAGGGTACCCAGAGCTCTAACTCACTCCTTGTCCCATTCCTCAGAGGAACTCCATTGAGCTCAGGCTTCCATCCTGTCCTTACTACCTTACCTGTGGCTGGCACCTCCTCATCTGGGACCATACAGAGCTAAATCATCCAACTCCATAAGCCTGAGAGATGGTGCCATCAGAGTGGGAGGGATGATGGGAGGAAAGTCTAAGATGGGCACAGAGCTGTTAGATTTCCTCCATGGTAATTGTACAGAAAAAATACCAAATTCAAGGACTGATGTAGCCTCATGAGTTCACCCCATAACATCAGTATTCTAACCTGATACTCTTTGGCCAGGTACTTACTGTACTCTTCAAACTGTATAGTTTTTTATTTATTTTATTTTTTTATTTTATTATTTTATTTTATTTATTTTATTTTATTTTATGTGTATGAGTGTTTTGCCTGCATGTGTATAAGGGCACCCATGCATGCAATGCTCTTGGAGGCCAGAACAGGGTGTCAGATCCCCTGGAACTGGTGTTACAGTCAGTTGTTAGCTATCCAGTGTGGACTGGGAACCAAAGCTGGGTCCTCTGCAAGAGCAGCCAGTGCTCTTAAACACTGAGCCATTTCTCCAGCTCCTAAACTCTACAGTTTCTAAATATGACTTCACTTAATCTTTTTGCAAGTGTCTGAATGTAGTACTGCTATGGTGCCCATTAAATGGTGAGGCAACCAGCTCGGGGGATGTAAACACTAAGCTTACTGGCTCTAAGCAGGCCTTGTTGCCTTTTGACTGTTCATTATAATCATCTGCGGCTCCGCAAGTGACTACAGGGTGCAGCCTAGCCTTGCTCTCCTGGTCTGCAATCTTTGCTTTGAGGCTTGAAGGTGTCAATGCTTGAGACCTGAACCTACAGACAGGGGGTGGAAAGATGGAGGGCCAGTTTGGATATAAAGGGAACTAAGCTTCTTTGGGTCACCCAGGAGGAATTATTCATTTGGAAAATAATCACAGGGTAACAAGCTAAGGCTCAGAGCCAGGGAGTAGTGTTATCTTCCCTAGAGAGTAAGTGAGGGCAGAAGCCTTGGCCTGGACAAATGTGTCTTAATTATTCCTCCTCCTCCTCCTCCAACTTCAACTCCCCCTCCTCCTCCTCCTCCTCCTCCTCCCTTCTTATTAATCATCATTATTATTTTTGGAGATGGGGGTCTCATGTATTCCAGGCTGGCCTCAAACTCACTATGTAGCCAATTCTTCATTCTCCTACCTCCACCTCTCATACAGGTGTGAGCAACCATGCCCAGTATATGAGGTGCTGGGGATGGAACCCAGGACTTTGAGCAAGCTAGGTAAGATCATGATCAACTGAGCTACCTCCCCAGACCTCCCAAACACATCTTTAGATCACAAAGTGAGCAGAAAAATCTCAATAGGTAGACAAGCCCTCCCAGGTCTCTGAGGACGATACCACTGTAGGTGTCTAGCCCTCTTCTAACCATTACACGGGCCCATTGTGGAAAATATGGCAAGACAGTTGTGATGGGAAAAAATGGAAAGAGCAAACCTTCACAAACTGATCAGAATGAAGAAGGGGTAACAAGTTTTTCATCCCCTTCTGCCTCCTCTTTTATAGCTACTGACCCTGAAGGGAAAGGGGGAAATAGTTTAGTCATCAAATGTTCAAAGTAGACTGGCCATAGCAATATCCAATTAGAACTGTACAGATTAGGGCTGGAGATATAGCTCAGTTGGTAAAGTACTTGGCACTTTTGCCTCCATTGCAAAAAAAAAAAAGAAAAAATATTTATAGATTATAAAGAAATTGAGGAGGCTAGGCTGGGGGCACACACTTATAATCTCAGCATTTGAAAGGTGGAGGCAGGAAGATGAAGGCCAGCCTCGACAAAGCAGGTGTTCACTGTGAGTTTGAGGCCAGCCTGGGCTACATGAGATTTTGTTTCCAAAAAACTAAACCAAACTAAAAACAAATTAAGTGATAGCTAAGGGCTCATTGGAACTCTACTTTCTGTCATTGAGGCCTTGTCCCTTCTAAGAGTTCGGGCTTGTCTTCCAGGCTAGAAGGGGAGTCTACAAGCACAGGGACCATGGGCCTTCTTAATCCACTAGCCCACAAAAGCCTTCCCTGTCAAGACAAAGCTTTTAAAGTGCACTTTGAAAGTGTGCTTGTTAAAAATGCACCACTCAGGGAGTGGAATCCTAGACACTGCATTCTTAATAAGCTCTCCCAATGAGGCGGCTATACCAGGCATGACTGAGTGACTCATAAAAGTACTGCTCTTCTCTCTCCCTCAAATGGACATGATTTTAATAGACTCCAAGGTCTTGAATACTTGATGAACTACAAATGCTGTCCCCTCATCCCTGGCCTCACTGAGGGGCAGATCTAGGTGAAAGCCTATTGCTTTGATGTGTTGGGATAGAAAGGAACCGAAACCATTCTGCTTCATCCTCCTTACAGGTTCTCAGGGAAGAGTGGGGCAGGACAGGGCCATTTCTGAAAATGTGTGTGTGTGTGTGTGTGTGTGTGTGTGTGTGTGTGTGTGTGTGTGTGTGTGTGTGTGTGTGCATGCTACTGGGAATAGAGACTTGTGCATGCTGGGAAAATGCACTACCAGTGAGCTATAGCCCCCAGCCTGTTTTACTGACTTTTGAAAACTCATCCTCTATGAAGACTTAACATTGTAAGTTAATGTGACTGGTGATGATGCCACAATAAATAGACCTCTTGAGTTTGTTACACATGATGAAGAAAATAATTTGATTTGCCTTATTTGGAATTTATCATTCATAATCAGAAAGCTAGGTAAATGTATGCCTCTAAGGTTATCCTTTGTTTTCTATAGAAATTCAGTTAGGAACTGTATTTGGTTACAAGTAAGAGACCATCTATATGTGGCTTATTGAATTATTTTTGCACTGACTACCGATTTAAAAAAAAAATGACTAGGGCGTAGAGAGTTGCCTGAGGATAGCAGGGTGAGGATAGTGCAGGTCTCACAGTCTTACCTCTGTAGTCCAACCTGACTACAGTTGCGCTAGCCATCAGACCTTCCTCTGTTCTTGGCAACAGGAATAAAGACAAGGCAAAGTAAACTTGACTAGAAAACCTTTACAGACACCCTCTTATATCTCACTGGTAAGAAACAGTATCATGTAGTCACTGCTAACAGAAAGAACTCTGGAAAAAGGCTTTTTGTTTTTAGCTGCCCTCAATCAATTTTTTTTTAGTTAAAACAAAAGGGAAAATAGATGATAGGTTGGCAACTGACAGTCTTGGGCCAGGTAACCCAATGTTTTTTTGTTTGTTTGTTTTGTTTTATTTTGTTTTTCTGTTTTTGGTCTTTTTGAGTCAGGGTCTCCCTGTGGCCCCAGCTTACCTGGAGGCAATGGCTATGTAGATCAGGCTGGCCTTGATCAAACCTGCCTCTGCCTCCCAAGTGCTCGGATTAAAGGCATACACCCAGATCCCTCCCAATGCTGTTTTTAATGTGAGAACATAAATGCAAAGGAAGGGATCAGCAGGCAATTATCATATAAGGACCACTTTAGCTATCCCCATTTGGAAAAAAAAAACCCACTCCTTTTCAGTTGTTGCGTATTCAACAGTCACTTGGGCACATTTTGCCCATTTTTTCTTCTTCTGACAGTGAGAAAACGACAGTGTTTTTCAAGTAGGAAGTCAATCTCAATATATAATTGCCTTTCTTACTGTTCACCATTATTTTCCTCCTATAATTGGCATTATCTGCTGCCCAAGAACAATTTGAGACCCTGATGTTCTTACACAGCGTTGCTTAACCTGTGGTAATGAGCAAACTAAAGACAGATGCCTGGCATTTCAATATGCTATTTTGCTGTGCACTCTTGGCTTTCAGGCCTCTAAGTTGATGGAGGAAGGCAGTGCATTTCTCATGCGCATTCCCCACCCCACGACGTTGCCATAGAACCACTTCCCTCCACTTTTATGAATGTTGAGCGACTGTCTCTATGGCAATCCCTTACTTCAGTCATCCTGCATGAGCAGTTAATAGCTGCAGGCTTGGCTCTCTGCTGAGAAGCAGAACCTTCCTCCACCTCCAAAGTGCAAATGAGATGGCTCTGCTTTGTTCTAAGTCAGTTCCCCTGGAGTACTGACATAGGGCCTTGGTCCTTTGTTTGAATTTGGAGGTGAGATCTCAATACTTTCTCAGCTGTGCTGAGAGAAGCAGGATTCCCAAGCATGCACGTGCCACTGTGATGCCTAGAGATTGGGGGTGTTTGAATGTGCATTGTTTTTCTTCCCCAGAATGCCCATATCACAAGCCCCTGGGTTTTGAGTCAGGAGAGGTCACACCAGATCAGATCACCTGCTCCAACCCAGAGCAGTATGTGGGCTGGTATTCCTCATGGACAGCAAACAAGGCCCGGCTCAACAGTCAAGGCTTTGGGTAAGTAGGGCAGGCAGCCCTGGTAGAGACATTTTTTTTTAAAGTGTACTTTGAAAAATTCGGTCTGTCTCGTAAACTGATGGTACAGAAGAAAGCACTTGGTCAACAAATCCTAAGTGCCTTGTGTCAAGGATTGTGGATACAGTGGTGGCAGGATGGGTGAGTTCCTTAGTGTCAGAGATTCACAGTGAAGAAGAGGTGGAGCCAGATTACAAGCACATCCCTGAACACTTGGCTATCTGGAGTGGGACGAATGCCGTCGAGGAGGTGAGGGAAGAAGATCTCATCAGTTGAAAGTGCCAGGGAAATCTTTCCTAAGGAAAAGACCTGAGACTTGGGCTACAACAGTCTAAAGGCCCAGAGTTGGGATGACACCTTTGGGTGCTGATAGGCCCTCAAAAATCAGTGCCTGCTGGCCTTTTGCAGACATTCATAGGTGATGGCTACTGATGATTCGACCTGTTCCCGGCAGGTGTGCCTGGCTCTCCAAGTACCAGGACAGTAGCCAGTGGCTACAGATAGATTTGAAGGAGATTAAGGTGATTTCAGGGATCCTCACCCAAGGTCGCTGTGACACAGATGAGTGGATGACCAAGTACAGTGTGCAGTACAGGACCAATGAACGCCTAAACTGGATTTACTATAAGGACCAGACTGGAAACAATCGGGTAAGTGGGGCTCACCCCAAAGCACCTTCAGCTCACACCCCCTTGGACTCACTCATCCCTGTGTTCCTATCTTGAACCCTGTGCATGTTGGATCATCTGTGCTGCTTCTCCACAGTATGATCTGCCCTTTCCCAGATACTGCCTGGGTGACCAGCAGTTATTAAAAGAATGCTTAACTTTTAGGCAAAAGAGATTATTGTCTAGTTCTGTCAGCTTATAGTTATTAGAAGACACAACCCTGGCTATTCGGACTGTCCCAAACTCATTGGATCATTGAATGTGTAGATTCACGGGACTGGCTTATCTGTTACTGATGTGGGAAATCACTCATCTTTATAGCTATGACTTCTTACTATTGACTGAGACCAGCTGTTGTAAATTTTCTGGCAACCTGGCAACTTAGCCATTCTGGTCTGGAGAGATGGCTCAGCAGTTAAGAGTGCATACTGTTCTTAGAAAGAAATGAGTTTGGTTTCTAGCACCCATGATGGGTGGCTCATAACTGCCTATAACTCCAGCTCCAGAGAACCAGATGCCTCTGGCTTCCAAGGGCATCTGTACCCACGGGCACATACCCCTACACAGACACACACGCATACACACATTTAATCTTTGAGGAATGTGATCAAAGTCTTCACCATGAACTAAACACATTAAGCTCCTGGATATCTTTGCAATGAATAAAAATGAACCAAAAACTTACTAGCTATTTGGAAATGTTAACCCTTCTTTTGCATAACAGCAAGGAATTCTTCAGGCCTCTATCTATCTATCTATCTATCTATCTATCTATCTATCATCTATCTGTCTATCTATCATCTCTATCTATCTATCTATCTATCTATCTATCTATCTATCTATCTATCTATCTATCTATCTATCTATCATCATCATCATCTCTCTCCTTCTTTCCTTCCTTCCCTCCCTCCCTCTCAAAGCTGCAGCCTAGGCTGGTCTCGAACTACTGATCTTCCTGCCTCAACTCTTCTCAATACTGGGATTATAGGCATTTGTTAACAAGTTCAGCTCTCCACAGAGTATTTTTTTAAGATTTATTTTTAATTATGTGAATGAGTGTGTGTCTGTGTGTGTGGATATGTGTACATGTATGAGAATACCTACAAAGGCCAGAAGAGGGTGTTGTATTCCCTGGAACTGATGTTACAAGTGGTTATGAACCATTATGTGGGTGCTGGGAACCTAGCCTGGGTCCTTTACAAGAACAGCAAGTGCTCTTAATTGCTGAGCCATCTCTCCAGCCCCTTCTCAGACTATTGCTGCCATTTAATTGGGTTAAGTAGACATGTGTGGCTAATAATCAGAAGGCTTTGTAGTCTTTGATGACAATTTTACAGCAAAACACTCGTGGGTTGAGGTTTCAAGAAGTATGGACTCAACAGGGAAAACCACCTTGATATTTGTTTTATTTTTATTTTATGTGTATGAGTGTTTTGCCTACATGTATGTAAGTGCACCATGTGCATGCAATGCCTGTAGTGGCCAGAAAAGGGTTTTGGATCTCTTGGAACTACAGTTACAGATATTGTTAATTTCCATGTGGGTGCTGGGTACCAAACCTTAGTCCTCTCTAAGAACAGCCAGTGCTCTTAAATGCTGATCCATCTCTCTGGCCCCCTTGCTTGCTCTTTTGAGACAAGGTCTCATGTATCACAGGCTGGTCTCCAACTTGCTATGAGGCTGTGGATGACCTTGAACTTCTGATCCTTCTGCCTCACCCATCTCCTGAGTGTTAGGATTATAGGTATGTACAAACCTTCTTGGTGTATGTGGTGGTAGGGATTGGATCCCAGGGCTTTGTACATGCTAGAAAAGCCCTCTACCAATTGAGCACCATCTAAAGTACCTAATTTCATTTTTTTAATCTTAGTAGTTGGCTTCTCCAAAAGATGTCAGAAACTTTTCCAAGTCTTGTGCTTTGTGAAAGCCTTGCTGATACTCAGAAACACTCCACTCCATTTGCACAATCTGGCAGATTCAGTTTCTATCAACTTCTCGTCCCCTCCTTCTGACCTGAATAGGCTCAAGGACAAAATAGCTTAAAGAAGAGGGCAGTTTGGGCCTTGTTCCTGGGAAGAAAGGAAAGAGCATGGCAAACAAGGCCTGTCCTGTTTTATGGATGGATTAAGGCTAAGTGCAACAGTTAGGTATTTTCAGAAAGTCACAGAAAGAAATGAAATGCTCTTGTGTCACAGAGCAGAACACTGTGACCCTGGAAAGTGCAAAGAATGATTTCTTCAGAAATACTGTCAAGCATTCGTCACATCTTACGGTTCTTAAAAAACACTAAGTAAACCTTTCATCTCTTTATGCTGACATCACCTTCCCTTTCCAGAATTTTCTACCTACGTTTTTTCTGTAAAAATATTTTTCTAAGTCTTAAAGGTACTTGTCTCTTCTATCAAAGTAGAAATACACATTTAAGCGTTGGCTCCCAACTTGAGCCCATTTGGGATAAGTTTGAAACATGTGCACACTTTTCCTGTGGGATATGGACCTGTTCAACCTTTTGTTAAAGTGCAAAGGATAAAAATAGAAAACTAGTGGAGCCAGGAGGCATTTTCTAGTAGCATCATCCAGTTGGACTATCTGTGATGATAGAAATATTCATATCTTCACTGTCCAACATGGTGACTACTGGTCACATGCAGCTAATGTGGGCTTGGGATGTGGTTCAGTGGTAGAGTGCTTGCTTGGCATGCACAAGGACCTGGCACCACAAAAACTGTGAAAAACTGAATTTTCATCTACTTCATATAAATTTCAATATAAATTCCACATGCGGCTACTGGCTACCACTTGGAATAGTGCACTTCCAACTGTCCCCATATACTGAGATACTCAGAGCATGTAGGTGCTGGTAATCATCCATGGTCAGATTTTAGGGATTGTCTGCAAATTTTCTGTAGTTAAACTGCTGTCATGGTTGGTTCTGGGTGTCAACTTGACACCAGATATGACACTTTGGGAAGAGGGAACCATAATTGAGGAACTGTCTCTATTGAATTAGCCTGTGGCCATGTGTGTGAGACATTTTCTTAGTTGTTCAGTGATGTGGGAGGGCCAAGCCCACTGTGGGTAGTGCCACTCCTGGGCAGGTGGTCCTAGGTTGTATAAGAAAGCAGGCTGATCACAGGCCAGAGGAGCAAACCAGTAAGCAGTGCTCCTCTATGGTCTCTGCTTCAGCTCCTGTCCTTGCTTCCCTCCATGAAAGACTGTACTGTAAGTCCTTTCCTCCCCAAGTTGGTTTTAGTCAGTGTTTCATCACAGCAATAGAAAGCAAACTAGAGTAACGACTTTCTAAGATTCTAATTTTTTAAAAATTAGCTGGGTGTGGTGGCACACACCTTTAATCCCAGAACTCAGGAGTTAGAGGCAGGTGGATCACTGTATGATCTAGGTCAGCCTGGTCTACATAGTGAGTTCCAGGCTAGCTGGGGCTGCAGGGAGACCCTGTCTCAAAAAGATTAAAAAAAAAAAAAGAAAGAAAGAAAACTGAGGCTAGGGCTGGCAAGATGGCTGAGCAAGTAAAGGGGCTTGCTGCAAAACATGGTGACCTGAGTTCATTTCCTGGAATCCATATAGTGGGAGAAAACCAACTGATTCCTGAAAGTTGTCCTTTGATCTCCACACATGCTCCATGGCACACAAGTGTGTACACGTATACACACACACACACACACACACACACACACACACACATGCACGCACCAGATAAATATTTTTTAAAGCCGAGGCTAGCTCCAGGCAGGAGTGGTTTTTCCTTTTCCTTCTTCTACTGTGATAACCAGATTGCTTCCTCTGCTTAGGTCTTCTATGGAAACTCAGACCGGAGCTCTACAGTTCAGAACTTGCTGCGACCTCCCATCATTTCTCGCTTCATCCGACTGACCCCTCTGGGCTGGCATGTTCGCATTGCCATCCGGATGGAGCTGCTCGAGTGCGCCAGCAAGTGTGCCTGATGCCTGTCTCAGCTCAGCCCTACCACTGTGGGGAGGGCCCATGGTGGTAGGCTGTATCTTCTAAGCATTTTTAAATGCAGATCTGGGTAGAGAATATTTCATAGTTTTGGTTTTTTTCTTTTTTTTAAGATACAGTTTCCAATTTCAATGAAAGAAAAATAAAAATGAACTTTTTCCTCAACTCAGGGCCAAAGAAAATCAGAACAAAGAAAATATCCCTGAAACCAACTTATAAAAACCTGTTTCAAAAAAGACCAACCCCCCCCCCAAAAAAACCAAAAAAACAAAACAAAACAAAAAACTAAGTAGCAAGGGTAATTTGGTGCTCTCTTTTTCTCTTTTTGTCCCAGGGACACTGTGAAAGGTGCCAACCCAGGGGAACACAAAACAGTTCTGATAATTTAAAAATTCCTTTTTGCATTTACCACATTCAAAACAGGAACATAGCATTTTGGAAAGTGTCACTTGAATGCTGAAGGCTTACATGTAACACTTTCATTAAATTCTGGTGAAAGGATTGAGGAGAGGTAGGCAAACAGAAGGGTGAATGGAAGGCAAGCATGAATGAGACAGAGGGGAGCCTGCAGCAAGTCCCATAAGAGTCTTAGTCTCCTAAGTCTGTAAACAGCAACCAACCAACCAACCCATCAACCAATGGAGGCCTCCCCCTCTTGGAGGAGCTTTTGCCTTGAAGGAGTTTGGGCTTTTAGCCACAGCACCACAGAAATTAGGGAGACTCCAGAGCTCCTTTTAGCCACAGCTCCATTCAGCAACCCATTAAGCAGTCTGACCATCTGTGGTCACCAGATAAATGCATGGAGCAGGCTGTATGTGTGTGTACTGAGGTTTCCCTTATATACAGGAAGCCCAAATGACCAGAACTCATCACAACTTCCTTATGTATGGCTACAGTGTTTCAGCAAATTGAACATACTTTTTTTTTTTTTGAGACAGGGTCTCCCTGTAGCCCCAGCTAGCTGGAAACCCACTATATAGACCAGGCTGGCCAAGGTGAGTAGATGGACTCACACTGAAATGACCTTGGACATTACATTCTTCTTTGTGAATGGACAAGTTCTCAAAAGCTTCAAATCTACAAGTATTTTGTAGCTCCACAGGTGTTTTGTGTGTGCATGTGTGCACACAGTGACATTCTTAGGTTTTTTTGTTTGTTTTTTTGTGGGGTTTTTTTTTTTTTTTTTTTTGGTCTTTTTGAGAGAGGGTCTCTCTGTAGCCCCAGCTGTCCTGGAACTCACTTTGTAGACCAGGCTGACCTTGAACTTACAGAGATCCACCTGCCTCTGCCTCCCAAGTGCTGGGAGTACAGGCGTGTGCCACCACACCTGGCCTCATTCTTAGTTTTTAACACATGAACAAATCCATTTTGGATGGGATGACTGAACACAGATCCTTATTTGGAAAACTGAATCAACTTTCTTACCACATTGATTGCCAGAGAAAATGGCAATAACCTAGGCATATAGTTCAGTGAAAAAAATCAAGAACATTGTGAAACATGCACAAAGACTCTTCTAATAACTGTTGATGTTAGAAATCTGTTTGGTAATAGTTTTATTGAGCTAAAGTTTGCATGCACAGTTATTACCTATTTAAAGTGTATAATTAAATGACACTATATGTTCAGATTTATGCAACCATAATCACAAGTAACTTTAGAAAATTTTTTATCACCCCAGAGAGAAGCTTGCACCCATCAGTCATCATCCACCCCAGCTCCAGGCAACTTGTAATCCATTTTCTATTTCTATATAGATTTTCCTGTTCTGGAAAATTTTCCATATAAATGGAATCATATGAGATGTAGTAGTTTGTGACTGGTTTCTTGCACCCAGAGTGTTTTTAAAGTCCATCTGTGTTGAAGAAGTACTTCATCCCTTTTCATTGCTATCATACCATTGCTGGGATATACTACTGTTAGATATCCATTCATTTGGGTCTCCACTTTGGGGCTATTATGAATAATGCTGCTGTGAACATTTATGTAGAAGTTTTTGTGTGGATATGTTTTACCTTGGGTTTACACCTAGAATTGTTGGGTCACTTGGTGACTCTCTGCAGATCCTTTTGACGAACTACCTTCCCAGGTGCCGGCACCATTTTCTGTTCTCACGAACAATGTGTGAGAGTTCCAATTTCTCCACATCCTCAGCAATGCTTATTGTCTTTCACTGCCGCCATCTTCATATGTGTGACGTGGTATTTCACTGTGGTTTTCATTTGTACTTCCCCAATGACCAAAGTTGGAGAAATGTCTATCCAGATCCTTTACCCATTTTAATATCTACTAACAATTTACTGATCTGTAAGAGTTCTTTGTATATTCTAGATACAATTCTCTTATGCAAATATTTCTCCCATCCTGCTTTGTTTTTTTTTCCCCAATTCTTTTGATGCAGTCCTATAAAGCACCAGAAATTTCAATTCTTTTAGTGACATGCAACTTCTTTTTTTTGTGCTTTTGTTCTCATTATTTGGGAAACCATCACCAAATTCAAGTTCATGAAGTTTTACTGCTGTGTTTTCTTCCTTAAGTTTTAAAGTTCTATCTTTTACTTTTGTATATGGTTATGAAGCAAGGGTGTAACTTCATGCTTTGCATGTGGCTATGCAGTTGTTCTAGTAACATTTGTTGAAATTCTTCCCCTATTGAATGGTCTTGGCACTCTTGCTAAAACCAATTGTGAGAGTTTGCTTAGGTCTCACAATCCCTATCACTTCACTGTGTTCATTACTGTAGCACTATATTAAGTTACAGAATTGGGACATGTAAGTCTTCTAACTCTGTTCTGCCAAGATTGTCTCGGCTATTCTGGGTCCCTTAAATTTCCAAATAAATATAAAATATCTGCAAAGAAGCAGCCTAGGGATTTCACATTGAAAAATGCTCAGTATTTCAGTTTAAGAAACAATGATCTGAAAAATATTTACTTGTAGGTAATTTGCTTACAACAGCCACAAATTATTTACTTCATTAAATTTATGACAACATGTATAAAAAAAGAAACAATTATTGAGGGAAACCTGAAGCCTAACAGAATCTTGCTATTAAGTACAAAAATTATGTTTATAGTATCATTTCTTTTTTTGAAGGGGAGGGAATTTCAATGAAAAATTATATAATGAGCTGGGTGTGGTGGCACATGCCTTTAAATCCCAGCACTTGGGAGGCAGAGGCAGGTACATCTCTGTGAGTTCGAGGCCAGCCTGGTCTACATAGCAATTTCCAGGCCAGCTGGGGCTACAGGGAGACCCTGTCTCAAAAAGACCAAAAATAAATTATATAATGGAGCAAAAACTCACTCTTAACATTTTATTTTTAGAAATGCTAGACTGTCATCTATATTGGAAGAATTTTCTGTGTTTGTGTGTGCCAGGGATATAACCCAGGGTCTCACACATGCTAGGCAAATATTCTACCACTGAGGTACATCTCCAGCCTGGAGCTTTAAGGAAAAAAAATATAGCAAAACATATGCTACATTTTGCATATTTTAATTAAACAAAATATTGTGATTAAAAATGAAGCATGAAATACGCAACTATTAAGAAAAAAATCAGAGGTGATCCCAGTACTTGATGTGGGAAGTTAGACAAAACAAAAGTATTCCAAAATAGAGAAATTGTTATGAATCTGGTCTCAAAGCCAAGAAGACTGCATCCCTACAGTAAGTATTTGAATGAATGCTGACAGAAGGCCACCTGTTTGGTCACATGAGGTATAGTGGCCGAGACCTGCTGACAATTAGCTTCCAAGAACTGCTGCTTCTTCTGTGAGCCCCCAAATGGTCCCAAGCTGGGTCTTTTTCTTTAAAACACAACTCCCTTGCAGGACTGCTATGAAGATGAAGTAGGAAACATATACCTACCTAAACGGCTTAGTAGACACCCACTAGGCTTTCTATAGCTGACATTCAATTATTCAGTGAATCTCCTTCCCAACTTTCTTTTAGATTGATTGATTGATATTTATGTGTATGTGTGTGCAAGTGCCTAAGGAGGACAGAAGAGAGTGCTGACTTCCAGGGATGTGGGTGCTGGAAACTGAACTCAGGTCCTCTCAAAGAGAAGCAAGCACTCTTAACTGCTGAGCCATCTCTCCAACACCCCCATCCCAACTTCTTAGAGCTGCCAACCAAGGCAGAAGGCAGAAATAAAAATAACAGTATTATAATAGCTAATATTTACTACAATTCTATTAGATGCTTACAAAAACCCTAAGATGTAGATATTAGCAGTATTTCCATTTAATGGCAAGGAGAGTGAGGCACAGGAAAGCTAAGTATCTTGCCTCAAGTCATGTAAGAATTAAATGAAAAAGCTAGGTTTCCACTCAGTGTGACTATTTAATGACTTCACCAGCATCCCTAAGCTTCCAATAACTTGTTTCATTGAAATGTTCCATTCTTAGATCAGATCAGTCACCACCAGCTGGGAGATGGGATAGAAGATGGCACATAAGCTGGAATGAGCTTTTAGAAAAGACTGTTACACTGGGCACAGTGGCTCATGCCTGCAAACCCAGCACATGGGAGGTAGAGACAAGAAGATCAGGAATTCAAGATCATTCTTGACTGTGAGTTTGAGGTCATCCTGGGCTATATGAGATCCTGCCAAAACAAACAACAACAAAAACCCTACACTTGATTCGGTCTTTATTTTTTATAAACAGGGTCCTCTGACCTCCACATGGCTTCTGTGATATGTATGTATCTGCACTCACAGAGAGATAGTCTCTCTCTCTCTCTCTGCAAAGTTTTAACTCTTACCTTCTTTTCAAAGAAAGATATATAAAACTGGAGAATAATTTACATATAAGGTAGCACAGAATAGAAGTTTTTGTGTCCTTGCTGAGCATCACAGCTATGCTTCTACCTGGACTATAAGATGATTAGGTACAAGTATTGTGTCCTGTATTTTTCCTCTGTCTTCAGCACCATCTCCTTTGGCTCAGGGTAATTTATACAGTGAGCCTAAGACAGACACCAGAAAACTGCCTGTATATATTATCTAGTTGTTTCTGTACCATAAATGCAGAATTCTGTAGAGGTAACAACAGCCCAAAGAATGCCCAGTTTTTACCATGTGACCTTTTCTGAAAAATTTCCAAACTCTCCTCTAGGACAAGAAGAAATCTGGAGCTGACCACCTTTGCTTTCTTTGTAGCACTGAGCATACCAGGTTGACATCTCTTTTCATCCTCTTCAAATTACCAAGTGAGCACTGAACAAAATGTACAAATGACAACGCTCAAGTGTGAAAGAAACCAAAGTTTTCACAATGCCATAAGGGGAAAAGAACTTTATAAATAAAAAAAATCATTAAGTAACAGGATTTGCTTGGCTTTACATTAATTTCTCTCCTTTCAACTGATTACAACTTCAAAGGCCCATTGCCCCTCATTTGAATTCAAATGCATTCTTTTTCACAAAGAAAGAATTAAAATGGAGCTACTTGCTGTTCAAAGGCAAGAAGGGCCAAGGCATTCAAGATTGGGAAGGCCTGGCAGTCACATCAGTCAGTGCAAAATCTGCATTTTATTAAAGACATTTGGGAAGATCCATTCAAAAATACATTGTGCTCAGTAAAAATTAACCATTTCATGCTGATAATGAAGGTTACCACAGAGTAGATATTTGTATAATATGTACAGCAACAATAGAAATTTTACAGAAGTTTAGAATGGAATACATGCCAGAAAAAACTTGATAAGATGTACCAACACATGATACAAAGAGTTATAGAAACACCTTACAAATGGTTCATAATTAGCTTGTGAGGAATTGAAGTATTCAACGCTTTAAATTCAGTTTGGATTCAAAAATTAAAAAGATTAACAACCACATCATACCCTTGCCACACAGTAAAAAGTATGGAATTACACTTTATATAATGGATTATAAAGTCTGTGCAATTAAGAATTTCCACTGATTCTTCATCTACTACACATTGGCTGTCCTATCCCTCTGGCTTATCCCTATTTCTATTTTTAAGAATGAACAGGGTATCAATGCCACCCTGCTCTGTGTCTTCCCAGAATACCTCCTTCAAACTTATTAAAGACTGAAGAAGTTCTGAACAGTTGTCTAAGTATATACAGAATAACTACCTGAATTCAGAACACATGAAACAATTCTTGGAGATAGGAATCTGGGGCAACTATTTTGTTTGGCTTGTTATCTGTTCATCAATGCAAGTTTACACTACAGTGAGAATTTATTTCTTTCTATCACCACATCACACCCCTACCCCCAGCCTGACTCCATCAGTGACCAAAGAGTAAACAAGGAGAGGGAGAGAGACTAGTGACTAGAACCCATTGTTTATCCCTAGGGAAAATGGATTTTCTGCCAGCTTTACTTTCCATTTTGAAAAACCGAAGCTGGAGTGGAGAATTTAACATTCTCCAGAAGGAAAAGCATCATCTTTCTCAGGAAACTCTACCGAGTTTAACTGGTGCTTTTGATGATTCTGGCAATAAACACTTTAATCCCCCAGCAGGGACAAAAGTCAAGGCATCTACCTTTTCAATTCCTGGGTTTCTTCTGATTAGACCTGAAGCACAGCACTAGGACAAGCTTGTCTACGCATGAAATGAATCACATCAGCCTTCTGGGAAGGGAAATCCCCAACCAAAGGAAGTCCTGAGGGATTCTCAGCGGTCTGCCAAAATGGAGGGGACACGGAGGGACAGATAAGGCCTCTTTCTCCCTGATACTCTGCCTGGAAAGAGCAGCGAACAAGGCAACTTCTAATCTGCATACAACACAGAGACTGATTTCAGATTCCCAAGGAGGACCAACTAGACTGGAGGATCAAAAGGGGTGTAGAGAGCTTACCCTGTGAGAAATGAAGGGCCTTAGAGGTGAAACCAGGTTCACTCCCGCACTTCTGCTGGCCCTATAAATCCAGCCTGCAGACTATGACAAAGAAAAAAAAAATTCTGGCCAAACAAGAGACAACCCTCCCTTAAATGGGGGACTGAACAGTTGATGAATAGAAACACAAGGCAGGTCAGGATCATGTTTAACAGCCTACAGTAAATACAAAGAAAGGTGGGTTGTGCCTGGAGAGAAGAAAGATGGAATAGGGACCAGGCCAAATGCTGATGATTTATCAAAGCACTGTGGACAATGACGATTTATGTAAGTAACTGGCTAGCACAATAGTTTACCATCTTGTATAGTACATTCAATTTTAAAAAATTCAAAAGTATAGCTTGGGCAGTAGGCCTAGAGTTTACTAGCCACCTGGTTGCTCCCCACGTCTGGTTCTCACAGAGCTTCATTTTCTTGCATGGCTCCTTATTCATGGTTTCCAAAACAGAATTTTTGTAATTCAGATGAACCAGACCTCCAGATAGTCTATGTCTCAGCTGGTCAAGAAGCAAGGGGGGAAACTGTAACCGCTTACAAGCCTGGGGATTTTTGTTGCTGTTGTTTTGTATTTTCTGGTAAGCTGGCCTTTTAAAATTTGGTAGAGATCTTTTTGTAAGATTCTGGTCTTGGGGATTAGTGATATTGTACTCTTTTCCGCAGTTCCTTTCAAAGAAACCAGAAATATTATTTCTTAGATCATAAATGAGTTTTGATGAACTTTTATTAGTGAGGAACTGAACAAGGCAAGGAAATATTCCACTGTTTTGTGATTTGGATTAGATAAACATACCACATTACCAGTTCACAGAAGTCAGAGACTGTGGATCATAGTACCCACACAGTGGAGTTCACTAGCCCACTCCAATGTAGGAGGCAAAGAACCTCTAGATACAAAAGCAGTGCTCTCCAGAACACAGGTTCTGAGCATGAGAGACTGCAGTTTTGCTGAGTCCCAGTTGGCCCCCAACAGTGACTTGCAATGAGCTACTTCCTGCCCTCACTAAAAGTTCTGTCGCCACTGGGACTGAGGCGAACAGAATGGACAAAGCCTTCTACACACTGGAAAAGTAATCCTCTGGCCTTTAAAAAAATTGTACACATATGAGTCACTCTCAATACATGGCTAGAAGAAACGAAATGGCTTTTTTCCTTATTTACTCTAAAGACTAGTTTAAGGAGTGAAGATACTATGATATCAACTAAGAGGTGCTGGGAAGGGAAAATGGGCAGCATTTCCTAGTGTGGTCCACTCATTTTCTGATTAGGAACATGCTAAACTGGCTAACTCTACAACCACAACATACTTTATAATACACAGTGTGACTACAGACTGACCGGCATAGCTCTGAGCTTAGAATTAAAGTATACAACTGCATATGGTTGAGTCTTAAAGCATGTTTTAAAACAGATTTAACCAAAGCATACAGTACAACTACTTCTAGAATAGCCACATCACAACCACCAATAAAGAGTTTTGCTTCTAATCAGTCTGCCATATGCTAATATTTGTAAAGAGCTATTAAATTACTTGAATAAAAAACAAAGACATTTTCTTTCAGTAGACACAGCTAAAAGCCAGTGGATGCCTTTGAGCAGTTGGTAAAAATCATGCCAATCTGCCAGGCTGTTGCTTGCTTCTAAATATAAGCCCTGTGGCTCTATGAAAGATTTTCTAAGGATGCTAACCTAGAATTTAAGTTCTCAAACATATATAAAGTAACTCTGGTTTCCTCCAAAAGTATGCACCTTTTAGCAGGCCCGAAACAATGGAAATAAACAACAGGATTGCAAGGATTCAAGAACAGTGGTAGAAGATTCTTAAAGAGAATGAGACATTGAAGGATTTGCTCCTGCAGCTCTGCAGCCTGGAAAGCCTGAGGCCAGAGGCAAGCTCTCTTGAGTGCCAGGCCTGGAATGCTGTTAGAGGGCTTTTCAAGCTGAGCACTAGTTGGGGGCTGAAACACTCTTTGTTGGGATACTGTCCTGTGTACTGGAAGATGTTTAAGGACATCCCTAGCCTCTACCCACTAGATGCTCGTAGCAGCCCTCATCCCATGACAGTGAAATGTCTCTAGACATTGCCAAATGTATCCTGAGGGACAAAATTCCCCTTGTCTGAGAAGCAATGCTCTAGAGACAGCTCACTTGAGCCTCTTGGCATTGGCACGCTCTTCTGGACTTGGGCTCTGGAGAGAGGCCTAAACTTCAGTTAAGACTGAACAAGCCTCAGTTAGTTTACTTAGAATTTCAGAGAAGAAAACATATGACAGAAAAGTAAAAGTAGAAAAAGAGTGAAGCCAAGGAGATCGGCGATAATTTAATGAAACAAATAAATTCATAAGCCTTCATTCAACCTTTGTGTCCTTTAGGATGTTCGGGCAGATAATAGAATATGGATGTCATAAATTCCACTTCCTAAAGAAGATGCAGTTTTTCATGACTTTAAGTCAAGTCCTTCTTGCCATGGATGGCATTTCTGTGAGGGCAATGATTGACTAACCAGAGGGGAAAGCAACAGTTAAAAGCTAAGAGAGGGCCCACTAGATCTGAGAGAAAATGTTACTGCCCCCCTCTGTGAGCAGGAAGAGAATGCATGGGATTGTAGATTCACTTACAGCTTATTGAGGATTGAGAAAAAGTTAGAACAGACAAGAGCTGAGAAGAGGATAAAAGAGCTACCTCAGAAACACTAGTTGAAAATACTGTAGCTATTTTCTGGCTCAAATCTGGGAATGTAGGAAAAGTAAGAATTGACTTCATCAGTTAGGATTAGTTTGCTCTAGGTAGAAGGCAATTATTCTAGCCCTTCTTTGAAGAACCATCACCGGTATGAATGTTCTGCAAACATCTGAGATCCCAGTGTTAGCAAAGATGACAACATGGGAAACCAGCCCCTAGATGTCTTGAATGCCACAGCATGGCAATGGGACTGCGCAGTTCCTAAGCGCACAGCACAGTGAGAAGTCTTTCCAGAGGAAAAAAAAAATGTAGTTTCTGGTTTGCAAGGGGGGTGGGGATACAAGGTGTGTGTGTGTGTGTGTGTGTGTGTGTGTGTGTGTATATATATATATAGTATTTAAGTTAAATATACACATTTTTAGAGTCACTATATCCAGACAAAAAATGTTGAGGGTCTACCTCACTTGGATAATCAAGCAACTGCCTGGGAAAAGCCAGAATTCAGAGCTACCCAGACAGTACTGGACTGGTAACAGAAACGAGATAAGAAAAGAACTCAAGAGCATGCAAACGAATTGAATTGTTTCCATGATAGTACCCAGTTGAGTTTCATTTTAGTGCCTATTACACTTATTAAAATTAAATAAAAGCACCTTAAAATGACTTCTATATATAATCAATATACATCATTATAGTATTTATATAAATATGCAATATGCACATAATTTAAGCTTCAAAGAATCTAAGACCTTTATCTTTATAATCCTCATAATCATCAGTGCTATGAATCTCAAAATCTTGGGGAAGGGTTAACCGTAAACTCAGCATATTTCAGTGATAGCTGACTTTATTTGGGGACTGACATTCTCAGAATTCAGGAACAAGTAATAAATACTGAAGTTACCTCTTTGAGGGGTGGAAGGGAATCGCTAAAAGTCTTATTGCTAAGAGACTACTTTTCAAAAATCTATGACTACTGATAGATGATGGCGTCGAGGTGATTTTTATCAAGGATGGCCCAAAGACATGGGGGTATAATGCTTGCTGGCCAGAGGCCTTGATGATACTTGGGAGTAAGTCGAGAGTTAAAAGTGATCAAATGAGGGAAAGATAGGTCTTGCTCTGATGGATGGGGTGTGTATATATACAGGTGTGCATGGTGACCTTGTTATAAATGGACAGTCCCAGGAAGAAAAAACAGATATAGTAATTTTCTCTACATCTGGAATTGCTTCAGGAGCCTTTTAAATATATTAGAGGAGCAACAACAGCAACAACAACAACAACAACAAGCATTTAGAAATAGAAATGCCATACACGTATCTCATACCCCAACTGGAGTCAAGAGTCTCCAGGAGGGCGGACAGCATTCAGGAGCATAGAGCTGGTTTGCAAGATCCACAGACAGGAGCCTCTTACAACCACACAACAAGGAATGTTCACTAGCAAATCTTTGGTCTACGCCCTAACACTAACGCTAAGTGGAAGAGCACATTCTCTCTGCAAAGACCCATGAGCAACACCTCTGTCTATCTTCTTCTTGTGCGCGAGTTAAAAGTCCCTGGACACAAACGAGAGCCAAGTGTGTGAGGACAGACGAGAGGCCTGCTGGATCCTTACTGGCCTATCCAACCTTCTTCCCCTGTGGGTCTGGAAAGAGATGCTGCATTTGTCTACTACCAAGGATCATGTGTAGAGGCTACTGCTGGGGCTGAGAAGTTGAGCAAAAGTTCATACTGTTACAATCACATGTAGCCACAATTCAACTCCCTTTATTAGAAGTATAATACTCACTTCATATCACAAATGTATAAAAATATGGCAGATAGTGTCATAACGATACTTTCTTTAAATGAATATATTTATAAAACAGACAGTTATTTACCATATATATATATATTTATATAGAGAATAAAATACTCCTGATGCAATATATAAATGTTACTGTTTAGTTTTTATAGAAACTACTGTAGCTGTCCCACTGCTTCACAATGTTCCAAACAGCTCAAAATAACTTTACATTATAACATAAAAGGTATGATTATAACAGTACAATATTAATTATAAATAAATGTTACAAATCCTATCAAATATGGAAGCTTAGAAAACAATTTAAGACATACAGTTCATCTGCTAACCCTTGAAAGGGATACTTCTAGATTACAATAAACCCCATATCTGGTCTAGGCAGAAAAAAATACGTGGTAAGGGCATCGGTCAATATGAATTTTTCTATGCCTTGCAGTCAGGACTTGTCCTGGTTTCCCCAAGTTCAATAAGGATTGCACTAAAGCTGGAATGTAAGGGGGAGAAACTGGCAAGAATTTCTTCTTCCTCAATGGCACACTCTATCCATTCTCATACAAGATCTGTGGGGAGTGGTGATCCCTAAGGAACTCCCGTGGCTCTAATATCCCTGACTAGCATTTGTGGTTGGGAGGAGCCAGATGGCACCCCCTCCACACACAATATTGCACACACCTTCATAAAGCTGAAAATACTGGCTTACTACCCTGGCCCAGCCCATTCCCCAGCCCACCCTACACCCTCCCCTCCCAACTGGCTTGTCTCCCCTCCACCTACCCCAGCACAAATTACAAGGCTGTCTCTTTTAAATCGTTCAGATTTGGTATTCGTGAGCGATTTGTTCTGTTATAAGGGTGCCCATTTGGCCCACTCTTGGAACCCAGCTGTTCAGAGTAGGAAGGCCCTTCAGTGGCACTCCTGGTTACAGAGGATACATGCCAACCAGGATCCATCTGACCTGGCAGCTGAAGGGCTGGCCTGCCCTTTGGTGTAGGCTCCTGCCGGATGTTGCTGCTTCCACCAGAGGCCTGGCTCAGGGGGTGAATCCGAATTTCTGAGAAGGAATTTTTGGTCTGTTGAGCTGTTAAAGGCTGGAAGCGGGGATCTGAGGAAGCTGGGTGATTGGATGATGAAGAGAGATGTAACAGCTTGCGCAGTGATTTTAATGGTTGGCTCTGAAAGAAAGGAAACTGTGTGTAAGATTTAATTTAGAGTAGACAAAAGAGTTGGAAGGACATGGAACTCAGGTCGAAGATCACCGGACAGAATCAGGAAGGGGTGAACATATGGTAGAGCAGTGAATCCAGCTGTTTTCTAGGTTTCTTCAAACAAAATTATACAGTCACTGTCTTTTAAATGAAAGCCTAGAATCTAGAGAAAATAACTAGCTCTACTCAAGGCCCTGACTCCTTTGAACTGACTGTGTCTTTTTTCTTTTTCTTCTTTTTCTTACCATGGTTCTCCTCCTTCAGACCCAGGAAGGAGAAGTAACAAAAGAGATATGGATAAACTTCTCACTTTTCAGAAGACTTCCCAAATAGTTCTTCCACTTAAATTTTACCAGTGCAATGGCTAATCTTAATTGTGAACCTGACTAGATTTAGAATACCCATGGAAACACACCTCTGAGTGTGCCTGTGACAGTTTAACTAAGAGGTTTAACTAAAAGACCCATCTTGAATGTGGGTAGTGCCATCCCATCCTGACTGTGGGCACAATGCTTCACATTCCTGCTGCCATTCCTTTTCCACCTTGATGGACTGTACCTTCAGACTGTGAGCCAAATAAACCCTTCCTTCCTTAAGTTGTTTTGTCAGGTATATTGTCACAGCAATTAGAAACATAACTAATGCAACTGGCTAGAACTCAGGCATATAACCATATCTAGCTGTAAGAGAAGCTGGAAAAGTGTAATGTTCTAGCTAGTGATGTACCAAGTTAAAAAACGTATAGCCCTCTCTGTTCTTATTTGTCTGATGTTCCTGTTTTCGTAATACTACATCATCATATTCTATGCCATATTTACCTTTTCATTTTCTTGAGGTGGGATAGGTAGCATTTGGGTAACAAAAATGCAAAGTATTTTGACTCCTATCATGGGCTCACAGTAATCACAGCTGCTGGGCCATCAGTCTATAGAATGGATGCTGGTCAAACACTCTGTAGAGTACAGCACTATGAAGGGAGATTGGTATAAAAGCAGAAGGCAGAGTTGTGGATGGGGTCTGTCCCTTCCTGGTCAACTATTTTCAGGTGACCACTGGGCCTCAGACTCCTCAATCATGAAAGGCAGCTTTCTCCTCTACCTCTGGTTTGAGGTGCATGAAGGTCACTATTGCAAGATGCAAGGACAGCCAAGTGTGGCATTACATAACAGTAATCCCAACTACTTGAGAGGGTGAGGAAATAGGATAACAAGTTTGAGGAAAGTTTGGGCATCTTAGCAAGACTCTCAATGTAAAAAAAAAAGGATGGGGAAGCTATTCAGTGGTAGAGCACTTGCATCATGAGATCCAGGGTTCAATCCCTAGCACCCTCCACCTCCAAACCACAAACAAACAATCAAAACCTGCTACCGAAGCATCCATAGCTGGTAAACCTCAGCATTTTTTTTTCTATCTTGAGTGTCAAAGTACAAGCCGCACACATTTTAGCTTTTAACCAAGTTTGAGTAACATATTGATAATCTCTAGGAAAATGAAGATTCAAAGTCACAGCGTTCTGACAGCCAAGGTAAATGGTTTGAGAATCAATTCAAGAAGAAATAGCTTTCAGGGAAGCAACCTCCAAAGCTTTTCCAAAGAAAGTTGTGGGGTTCTCATAAGGGGTGGTAAGAGTACACTGGAGGTATTCCAAAGGGCGCGCACACACACACACACACACACACACACACACACACACAAAATAAACCAAAGGGTTCTCTCTCTGGCCCCATCCTTTTATGTAGCCTAGGCTGGCCTAGACCTCTCCATGTAGCCCAAGATGATCTCCAATTCCTTTTTATTTTGAGACAGTTTCACTTTGTAACTATGGCTGTTCTGGAACTCGCTATGTAGACCAGGCCTGACTCTGCTTCCTGAGTGCTGGTGTGTGCTACCAATGCCCAGCAGTCTTCAACTCCTGATCTTCTCTGCTCCCTACCTCCACCTCTATGTAGCTCAGACTGGCCTGGACCTCTTTTCAAAGCCCAAGATAACCTCAAACTCTAGATCCTTCTCCAACTCCGAAGTATTGAGATTACCTATAGGCATATGTCACCATTCCTGTCTGTCTTTTTCATTTTTATTAAAATGATATACCACAGTGAGATTCCTGGTAATTTTTATGGCTCTAACATCATATGAAAATATTAAGCAACCCTAAGAATCCAGAATCAGCTAGAGATGCGAAGTTACTTGAAAAGGGTTTCTTAGTATCAGGCTCTCCAAGCCTTGTATTCCTAGTTTGGATAAGCATAAATTAAGATACCTGCTTCTCTATGTGCCTTCTCCCTTCAGGATATATTATGTTAGAAGTAGAAAATATAAATGGCTGGGCAAGGATTGGCAATTGAGAGAACTCCTGTTTACAGCTCCAAGTAGCAGCTTGTAGTTGAGTAAAGAGGCCACATATGATGGACTTTATTTATTTATTTTTTGGTCTTTTTGAGACAGGGTCTCCCTGTAGCCCCAGCTGTCCTGGAACTCACTATGTAGACCAGACTGGCCTTGAACTCAGAGAGATCTGCCTGCCTCTGCCTCCCAAGTGCTGGAATTAAAGGCATGCACCACCACGCCCAGCAACAGATTTTATTTTTAGAGACAGAGTCTCACTATGTAGCCCTGGCTGGCCTGGGCTATGCAGGCAAGAAGTGATAATCTTAGCATTTGGGAGGCAGAGCCAGGAGGATTGTGAATTTGAGGTCAACTTGGACTAACTGATAAGATACTGTCTTAAAACACACACACACACACACACACACACACACACACACACACCCCACCCCAAAACAAAACAACCCCCCAAAAGCAAGAAACCAAACAGAAAAATCTGTAGAAAAGTGGAGCCCCTGCCTCTCAGTCCTAGACATCTGATTAAAATACACATGGGGGATTACATCACTGTGTTCTTTATGGTAAACTGAAGAGATAAAATACTGAAACATTTCCGATTAAAATAATTGTTTAAAGGAGATAGCTTAGTCACTTGAATAACTTGCTAAAATTTCTCCTTATTCTCCCATTATAGCAGGTAAATGTGACTACATGTTACTGTATAATATACAGTTCCTAATACAAGTGTTTGCCTGTCTTCATAAAAAATAGTATGGATTTCAGAAGTTGAAATATTCTTTTGGGGCTGGAGAGATGGCTCAGCAGTTAAGAGCACTGGCTGCTCTTGCAGAGGATGCCGGTTTGATTTCCAGCACCCACATGGCAGCTAACAACCATCTGTAATTCCAGTTCCAGGGGAATCAACGCCACCTTCTGATGTCTGCAGGCACTGCATGACATGGGTGCATTTACACACATATATGAGATACACTCATACACATAAAATAAAAATAATAAAATATTTTTAAAAAAGAAATATTCCTTCAAGAAATCATATACTATCTGTCTTTTAAGGTCCAATCCATATGCTACCACATTTAAGGAAACCGTCTCTCCCGTCTCTGTTCATCTTGTCCAACATTTTATGGCATACCTTATGTTTTCCCAAGATCTTTATCAATCTTTTTTCTCTACTGATCTGTATAGATTTGTGGACTGGGACTACTTCTTCATGCCCTCTCCTTTCATCTCCCCAACCGCCCTCCAACAGCTTGGTGAAAGCTAATAGAGACTTGATATTTTCCCATAGGAATAGGAAACACTGAAGCAAAATTCATCCTGACTTCCAAGATGTACCAGGTTATTACGGTCTACTTTGGAGAAGCTAAGTTCTGTCCCCTTTGCCCTCCCATCCCAAGACATGCTATAGCCTCCAAATCTACTAGTGAAGGCTCTACTCACCTGAGTCTGAAGATCTGCAAGCTTCTCAGGCCGCCACTCCTTTGGTCTGCTGCTTGAAGTGCTAGCAGAATGAATGGCTTTCTGTAAGGTCAGAAGATCTGGACCATCAGTGTTGGGCACCTAGAAGAAAAAAATGGACAACAGTTCAACAAATACACCAATAACCCTAATTAAGATATATATCCATACCCAACAGGAGAACCAAAAGAAAAAGCAAACTAAATCAAACCAAAACTGAAAAAAATGGAGAGAAAACAATAAGATCCAGTAGATAAAGAACCCAAAACTTTCCCAATGTTCATAATGCAAGTGGTGCTAGTTAAATTCTGCTGCCTTCTTAATAATTTTCCCTGCATTAGGAAAAATTGGCAGATGGTCATGCAGCTTGGTTAAAACCTCAACCCTTAAAAGCATTCCCATGCTGTTAGTTTCAGTCGCTGTAAGAGAGAGAGCAGTTATAGTGAGCTGTACCAGGAACTGCTGTCGTATCCTCATTCTATACCATAGTTAGGTTATGAACCAGTTCAATAAAATAAAAACTAAAAAAAAAACTGCACATTGGGAAAATGATCCAAACTTCATATTTGATGCTGCAAAGAAGTCTAGGAGGCTTTCAAGGAGAGAGAACTGGGGAAGTATGGTTTGAATCATGTTCCAAGCCACTGCCCAGTAATCTGGGTTTAGCATTGTACAGTTGGGAACTGTTGGAAATTTATGCCACAAATTCAAAATGAATGCAATTGGTCTATTCAATTACTTTGGTGGACAAAGGAGACTCATGTCAAATGCCAAGCAAAAGCCATGGCTTTAAATGTAGTGACCAGCAAAAGCTAGAGCCAGGTGAGGAAAGAGCAAGTTATAAAGTAGTAGAAGCTGCTTTTTTCATGGAGCCTGATAGCTCACTTAATTTGATCAATTCAAACTTGATTTCAAAGAAACAAAGTGCCAACCAAATGTTAAGAAAGTTTGTGAGTCAAATGTAGAGACATTAGTCGACTGTAAATGTTAATCAGATTCTTCGTAGGAATTAAAGGACTTTATGAATGCTGTCTGCCAATAATTGGCTAATTGGTCGATCCAAATCAGTCTTACTAGTTTGTTTAGAAGGCTTTATGATTCAACATCCTTAACTGGTGCAGAAAATTCAGAATGGCAAAAATTTATATCCCAGGGAATTTATGGAACTGGCTCAGGTACTTAACTAGCATAAAGAGAATATGACCCCATGAAAATAAGACATGCTATTGTCATCAGTAAAACAAGTTTACTGGAGCAGTTTTCAGGGCTACCGTACGTAAAAATGGGTACCATGGGTGGAGTGACTACAGGAAGCTTTTTCAAAGAAGAACTATGCTTTAAATGATTCTTTGAATTAAAAAGAGGAAAGAGGGATTTCTTGATGCTTGGATTCTCCCCGTTGGTGGAATCTGTCTGCAATATAAGATACAAATAAACTAATTGCAAAAAAATGTTTTTAAGTAAAAGAAATAGGTGCTTTAATTGACACTTCTAGCCCTTGGAAGCTCTCAAATGATTAAACATTACCAGTCATGGAAAGAACCTCTGTGCTATGTGTCTACAGAGTTCTTCATTATTTCTCACCTTGCCATAATAAAGTAAGTTCAAGAAAAGCACAAGTTTTTCCTGAATATATACCACAATTATGACCAATACCCATACTAGGAATGCCTGGAGACCTTTAAGCATATACTTACATTATGATTACAAAACATTTAAGAATTTATTTATTATCAAAAATATTACTGTTATAAAGAATTGTGCTTAATGAACTGCTGATGAACTTCTGTCAGGACTTCAGCAACTAAGAGATTCTACCATATAGCTTGTCTATTATGAAAGAAAACATATTGTAAGTCCTTTTGAACTTGGTCATTGTCTTGAGCCAGTAAATATCATTAGAAGAGGACTATGGTTGTCATGGCAGACTGATGTTAAGCAGCTCTATTCTACACTGCTAGAAATAGGCACCTGACTAAAAATATCTGGCACAATTTTGGTTTTCAGGCAAAGAAACAAAAGTTCAATCTTTAGGGCTGGTGAGATGACTCAGAAGATTAAGGTACTTGCTACACAAGTCTGGCAACTGGAGTTTGGTCCCCAGAACCCACAAAAAGGTACAAGGAGAGAACTGACTCCTCCAAGTTGTCCTGTGACATATCTACATGTGGGCTGTGGCATGTGTGCCCTCAGCCCCCATCATGCACACATAGTCAATAATTTTTTTAAAAAAGTTTAATTTTCAATATTTAAATTGAAATATCATTGCAAGTTGAGCTACTAAGTAGGTTACAATTACCAAGTTGGCAAAGTCACCATATTCTCTGAGGGTTTATGTAACTCCCTGGATATGTAACTGAAGCCAGATTTCACAAGACTGCTTCTAGACTTGCTTGAGTCAAAGCAGGCACCTTTACAGTACAGAATATTTTGTTGGCACCACTTTTCCCTCTTTTGGCTACCTCAATTGTTAGAGAACAAAAATGTATATAAAGGCAATAAGACCATCTTTTCATGAGTGGTGTCTGTATGAAGATATCTGTGTAAAATATTGTATGAGTTTTTATGTTTTAGTGATAGAAATCCCAGGGAGGAGTTTAACTTGCACTGCTAAAGAGACTAGCAAAGTGCTTTCAGAAGCCTTCCACAGGGGAACTCAGTTTCAGTCATTATAATTCATTGTGTGACTTTGGACAGGTTACCACTTGCTTGGCTCAGTTCCTAGTCTAGTGAAGTTGATTTAGGATCCACCTCAACATTAAAATGCCCCAATTCTCTATGTACATGAAATTTCAACTTCCTTGAATTTTACGTAAAAGTTGCAATGTCTTCAATATTTCAAACTAATTTTACTTAGTTTTATTTTATGGAACTTCAGAAAGAAAAAACAAATTCACATGAATTACATGAATGCTCATTTAAAGAAGGCTGAGTTAAGCCAATACCAGGCCTAAGAGCCCAGGGTCTGGCAGGCTGTATGCAGTGTTCTTTGGAAAACTGACTGTAGATTCCAAAGCCCTTAATTTTTTTTTATCTAAATTAAAAAATGAAGAGGTATAAAAAAAACTTTGGTTTGGAAGAATTAAGGCATTATGGTCTGTGGAAAGTTATTCTGCAGATAGTTTAAATATCTAATAAAAAAGTAAGCGGAGAAGATATTAGAGATTAGTAAGTTTCCTATTTACCCTAACCTATACTATTTAAATATCTAAAATTAGAAGCAAACCTTGAAAAATAAAAGTTAGTCAAGATGTAAATATTCTACTTAGCTACAGTCATGCAAGAACTTTATGTTTAATGTTGGTCTAAGGCAGGCAGATATTAAAATCTGGATTTATACACAAGACATCTTTAATTCCTTGATCCTTACTATTTTCTACCACTCAATCACATCACAGGGTTGCAGGCATGTAGTTAACAACAAAACACCCCAAATTTATAACAGTGGTCAGAAAGAGGTATCCAAAGGTTAATGCTCAAGATAGATAAAATATTTCAGGCATCCTGAGGCAAACAGGTCTACATCTTTATTTCTTCAGTTTCAGGAACAAATGTAATAATATCGAGTAGCATTTTGATTTGATATTTCAATCTAGGCATGCTTCAGTCAGAGATATATGTTCCCCCTTTCACTCCCATGAACATTTCAGGAATATCATGTAACCATTAAAATGAAGATAATGGTAGCATACATGCTGTGTGTGTGTATAGGTACAGATACTTTCTTCCTCAAGTGTACGCATAGGCTAATGAGCTACAGGGAAATATATAAAAATTCTAATATTATTCATGGTAAGGTGGGCAAGATTAAGAATGATCTTTTCTTTTTCATAATTTTTCTACAATGAAGTAATTTATTTTATAATGAAATACATATATTTAATAAACAAGAAAAAATGGTTTACAAAGGTCTAGATCATAGAGACGCCTTTAAAAAAACACTCCTTTTGTTTTTTTGAGACAGGGTCTCTCTATAGCCACAGCTGGCCTGGAACTCTATGTAGACCAGGCTGGCCTCAATCTCACAAAGATCCACCTGCTTCTGTCTCCAGAGTGCTGGGATTAAAGGCTTGTGCCACAATGCCCAGCTTAACAAAACACTTTTCACATATTTCAAACATCTCTGAGACAAAAAATCCTTAATGTGGGTTATATACTTTCCTACTCTCATCTATCTCTTTACTTACCACTAAGCTATAATTTTAGAATGTTCATGTTGGCTTGAAGGTCATCAGAAGCATTTAGTTTATTCATCTTATGGATAAAGTCAATGAAACCAATGTGAACAAGCCATTTTGATTAGGCTATTAATTTCTTTAAATGAATGAGAGTAATTGTGTATGAAGTAAGACTAAACTAATACTACTGAAAATGGGTTAACTCAGTGTCACTTGGTTGTGAAGGTACCATAGAACAAATGGGGGAAAATTCCTCTTTTGGGTAAAGAATTTCTCCTACTGCTGTCCTAGAGAACTCCTCCTCCTCCTCCTCACTTTCTCTTGTCACTTGCCAGGTTAGCATCCTCTTTTGGGGAGTTCTAGGAAGTGATGAGACTGTTCTTGTGGAGATGGCCCTTTGCTCAGGGCCAGGAGCCCAGAAGCTAAGGTTCAGTCTGTCTCAAAGCCATCACAAATGAAACACCTTTTCTTACTAAAGCAAGTCCTAAAATGTCAAATGAAAGAGTATCTCTGTGACTAGACAGCCCAGAAACTGTACTTGTCAGCATGGGAATTCTACAAGAGGCCAGGGGAGGATAAGGAATGGTGGTTATTTATGAATTTCAAGATTTAAATGCAAACCAAAACCATTTCCTATGTTACTGCATATCTTTATGCTCCCAGAGAGAAATTCTGTATCTTCATAGTTTTTATAGGAATATAAATCCACATAGCTAATTAGTTTATTGAGAGAGGCTTAAAGTATTCTCTCATCTAAATTAAGTCCTTCTTTTCCCAGAGATTCTGCTGAAGCTAGAAAAGGCTTTGTGAGAGAACAGTAGCATAAGATTTCAGAAAGAGGCATCTATAGCATATTCATATCATGTCTCAGTAAGGAATTAAATTTGATTGCCACATGTAGAGCATAAAATGTATTCACAGAATAATGCAGAAACCTATGTCATATATAGAAATATCTACTTACTGTTTGAGATTTCTTCTTTTTCTTTTTCATTGACCTAAAAAAACCTTGCTTCTCCTTTTCTTTGAGTTGATCAGAATGACTAATATTTTCTGGACTTTTCCTAAATGAGAAGACAGTTTTATCATATGGATCTTCGAATCATTCTTTTGCCATTGTGTGACAAACAAAATGAAGGCTGAAAATGCATGACACCACATTCAAACAGCCATGAAGAATCGAACCCACAGGTAAAGGCCCTCTAAAAAGCACAGGAGGAATCTGATCGGTATGGGTAATGGCTGTCCTTTGGCACAGGCTTGATCACATTAGTAATTTGAGCACTATTACAAATGATCTGTAACTGGGCTTCAGGACCATTATAATGCTGTTGAAAGCTTCTGAATTAGAGATTCTGTAAAATGCATGGCTTAGAGGATGCTTCCTCTATAACTCTCTAAGGGAAAGAGTAGAAATATTTGCAATACCTTCATCTTTCTATTACTTTTTAAAAACCAGTTCAACATGTTTATTAGTAGGTTGCCAAGATATTGAACATAAAAAAATCAGTGCTGCTTTAGAAACATTATAAACAGAAGTAAAAATTCCTAGAAATTTCCTGAACCTAGAAAAAGCCTATTTATTAAACCTCTAATCTATTAAAACTAAATAAAAAATGTAGACAGGATGAATGCTAAAACACAATGTGTTTGTAGGTGAAAAATACCCTCAAAACTTCTGAAGGAAAATAATGACATTAAGTTTGATACCACAGGTACCATTAGGTATTTTAATAAACATAGAAGATAGTAAAAAAATAGGAAACAATCCAGGGGTGGTGGCATATGTCTGTAATCTCAACATTCAGGAAGCTAAAGCCAGAAGATTAAGGAGTGGAAGGCCAGCCAGGATATCCTAGAGAATGTCCCCCAAATAAAAACACCCCACATTAAAAAAAAAAAAAACCAAAAGAAAGGAGGAAAAACACTATGCTTTCAGCAAGATACATGTACTTATATGTTTAAAAAGACTTTTGACTTAAACTCTTTAAAAAGCAACTCAACTGCTCTTATTCTTGAAAAAAATACATCTCATGGACTTTACTAAAATTTCAGTATCTATATGACTTGTGGAAAACTATTTTCTCAAATGCTTAGATTTTTTTTCTGTAAGCTACTCCCTAAAAGCGAGGCTGGTAGAACCATTAAAAGTGACAGTTAATTTATATTCATGATTTCCGAATACCTAAGTGATGAAGTGATTACAATATTTAAGAAAATATGAGCAAAGCAGCATCCAGCTATTTCATTAAAATATACAAAGCCAGAAAACACTTAAATAAACCATTACTGATTGCATGACAGAAAACACGATGAAGCCATTAAAAATAAATCACATCATTAAAGAATGTTCACTGACACAAAATAATATTTAAACCACAACATTAAGTAAGCACACAATTATTTGAACTTTCTACATCAGATAAATCCGATTACATGGCAATAAAGTATATAGGTGTACATATATATGCTCTTTTTAATTTTTAAAATATTTTATTTATTATTTTTACGTGTATGAGTGTTTTGCCTACATGCATGTAAGTGTACCCGTGTCATAAAATGCCTGCAGAGGTCAGAAGAGGGCATTGGATTCTCAGGGACTGTAGTTATGAATGGTTGTTAGCTGCCTTGTAGATGCTGGGAACTGAACCAGAGTCCTCTGCAAAAGCATTACATGCTCTTAACTGCTGAGCCATCTCTCCAGTCCCACATGTACTTTTTAAAACACAGGAAGAAATTACACACACAAAAAAAAACTTGGCTGGGGATGTGGCTCAGTGGTAGAGCACTTGCCTAATTTGCACAAGGCCCTGGGTTCCTTCACAAGCACTGGGGGAAAAAGAAAGATATGCCAGTCTTTGTGGCATATGCCTGTATTCCTAGCTCAAAGACTGAGGTAGGAGGATGACCTTAGCTCATGAGTTTGAGATCACCTGGATAATATAGTGAGATATCTTTTTTCACGAAATAAAGAACTACACACAGAAAAAAACCTTAAAAATCTGCTATATCTAAGTAGTACAATAACTGATATTCTCTCTTTTTAATTTCTTTTTAAAAATTATTTTTATGTGTGTGAGTGTATTGCCTGCATATGTGTGTAAGTGCACCCATGTTGTGCAATGCCAGCGGAGGACAAAAGAGCGCTGTTGGATCCTCTAGAACTGGAGTTACGGAAGGTTGTTAGCTGCCATGTGGGTGCTGGGATTCAAATCCAGGTCTTCTGCAAGAACAGTGCTCTTACCTGCTGAGCCATCTCTCCAATCCCTCTTCTTTTTAATTTCTAATAACAAATATGCACTACACGTATGACAAAGAGGTTTTATAAACTACAGAAAATTTATTTGAGGGCTGGAGATGTGGCTCAGTTAGCAGAGAGCTCACCCAGCATGCACGAAACCCTGGGTTTGACTCTAGCACTGTATAAACCTGGTATGGTGGTACACACCTGTAATCTCAGCACCTGGGACCATTCCTTATCATCACCCAAGTGTTCCTGAAATTCATTAGATCTTGTGATTTTTAAGCATCACTGAAAGAGTTCCAAGTTCTGAAGAAAAGTTCTGTGATTCAACTTAGCCATACCATAAGTAATTTAAGAACTCAGAACAGTGCATTTATCATTTTAAAATCTAGAAAATTTAGATGTGATGACATGGGTACAAACAAGATGGTGGAAAGTTAGATTCTCTAGATGCAGTGTTGTAGTATTAGGGAAAATACTCTCCCCATGAATGCACTCTCAGGAGGGGAACTTGCATTAGAGCAGAATGTTAGCACTAGTGGAAGAGGAAAGGAAAGCTGGAGATACCAGACAGGAGGAAACAGGATGAAAGCCTTACAGGATGAGGTAGAGAATAATATGCAAGTGAAGGGTTGGAGAACAGGTGGGTAAGACGAGGAAGGGGGCAGAAAAGCAGTTCAGAGTTTGCAATATGGCACTGCAGAGTTGGTCCTGGGAAAAGGACAGTTTAGGAGGGGCAGGAGGGATGATGAGGAAAACATTTTCAAGCTAAGCTAATCAGGTGGTAGGACTGAGAGCTAGGCAGGGAAAGAGTCTGGGGGCTGAAAGACCAAGGGAAAAATAAATTACTCTTGAATTAGATGAAAGCTAGGACTGGAGAATGAGTATATTTGTATCACAAAAGACAGAGGGAATTAAGCCTGAGTGAAGAAGGGGAGACACACAGAAAGAACAAAGCAGAACTACATAGAAACACACTCAGAAAGCCAGAAGAGAGAAAAGCTGGAAGAGGGTGGGGGGGGAGGGGGACAGACAGTAATTGCCTGGAACATCGGCACTTGAAAAGCTGTGTGATGTACAAAGGAAGAAGAAGCCTTGAACACCAATAAGCAGCATTGAGCCAAACAGGCAAAGGTGTGGGCTACCATTTCCCTATGATTTCACCTGTTATAGTGGGCAGCTCTGTGCTGTACAACACAGAAGGGGAAGCAGGGGCTTATATACATTTCAGAGAAGGAAGCTTTGAGAAGGCCCATGCATCCAGTTGCCTGGCACATGACCTGAGGCAGCAGCTGAGATCAAAAATAGTATGGTGATGAGATGGACAGGGGCACATGACAAGGGATGAACAGACATGGTCTTACACAATCATGTGACTCCAATGTCATCTAACCCAAGACCTATACTCATTAGGGGGTCAAGAGGAATGAGAGAAGTTCAAAGACTCACTGTAATCAAGGAAGGAAGGAATTAAAACTGAAACTGATGGCTCGGTGTGATAGCACACTCCTTTAATCCCAGCACCCAGGAGGCAGAGGCAGGCAGATCTCTGTGAGTTCAAGGCCAGCCTGCTCTACATAGTGAGTTCCGGGACAGCTGGGGCTACAGGGAGACCCTGTCTCAAAAAGACAAAAAAAAAAAAAAAAAAAAAAAAAAAAAAAGAAACAGACTTAGTTAACCAACATTTACCGATTACTTGCTGAGTGCCAGGCCTTGTGTTAGGTGTTAGAGTTACAGAGAGAAATCAATGAAGGAGCCTGACTTCCCATGCAAGCTGCTTCTAGTCTCATGGTGCAGAGCAGTGGAGAATGAGACAGCAGGGTCAGGCTTCTGGACTGTGGTACACTCCCTCTGGAAGCAGCATGGAGGGTGAGTGGAGGAGGTGAGGGACATTACTCTGATACTTTCTTGCCCCATCCACTGCCCTGGCAGTGACTAGGTGGTCAGCTAATGTGTGAGGCAAGAAAGTCAGTGAATGATTCTATAATTCTTCCAGACAGAATGATAAGCTATCATCGATACTTTTTTTTTTTTTTGCTCTTTTTGAGACAGGGTCTCCCTGTAGCCCCAGTTGGCTTGGAACTTACTATGTAGACCAGGCTAGCCTTGAATTTACAGAGATATGCCTATCTCTGTCTCCCAAATGCTTGGATTAAGTCATCGATACAATTTATTAATGACTGTATAAGAAAAAAAAATCTGTGATCATCCAAGTGGATTACACAATTCTTCACTTAACTAGCTGGATTTTAAAAATTAATTCAGTTTATGTATCAATTTTTAACCCAATTTTGATGACAGTTTTTCTAAACTATATACTTTGTCTTTTCTTTAAAAGATTTATTAAATTGTAATCATGTGCGTGCGTGTGTGTGTGTGTGTGTGTGTGTGTGTGTGTGTATGCATGTGCACATTGGTGCAGGTGCCTGCAGAGGCCGGAGGTGTTCCAAGCCTCTGGAGCTGGAGTTACAGGTAGTTGTAAGTTGCCTGACATGGGTGCTAGGAACTGAACTCAGGTCCTCTGCAATCACAGTATATACACTTAAACACTGAGTCATCTTTCTAGACTTTGTGTCTTTTTGGTCTTTTTGAGACAGGGTTTCCCTGTAGCCCCAGCTGGCCTGGTACTTGCTATGTAGACCAGGCTAGTCTCTAACTCACAGAAATGCACCTGCCTCTGCCTCTGCTATGATTAAAGGTGTGTGCCACCACACCTGGCTCTTTTTTTTTAATTAAAATAAATGCTATTTTTTAACAAGCATACTCTCTAAATGGTTACCTATGACATACAGTATTTTCCCACTATGAATAGAAAAAATACATTTGCTTGCTTCCCTCCACAGCTGCTGTTTGTGATCCTTCTCCTTCTGTATATTATATTGGTACCTGGGATATTTTTTGTTTGTTTGTTTTTTTGAGAAAGGGTCTCCCTGGAGTCCCAGGTGGTCTTGAACTCACGATGGAGACCAGGCTGTCCTTGATCTAACAGAGATGCACCAGCCTCTTCCTTGGTGTTACCTGGGACTTTGTGTCTATACAACGTCAGTATTAACTGCTAGAACTATGCGGAAAGGAAAAACAAATGGGCTCCAAATGAGGGTGTCATCTTATTAGTAAAGATGATGAATCTAACTCTATTAACTCTTATTTTTCTTGTTCTGAGATATTTTGGCTTATCTCCCAGTTCTTAAGTGGGTTCAAAACAACCGAGATGGCCATAGTAACAGCACTGGGTATAAAACTACAATATTTATTGCTTTTAAGTATGAGATAGTAGCTTATCTTTCCACAGGAAATGTGCATAATACACAAACATTATCTTCCCAAAAGAAATGTAAAGTAGTACTATCAGGGAGAAACAAACTGCCCTTAGGTTATGTGATAATTTAGGAATAGTATTTTACCATGTTTCTCTTTTGTGTTTGTGTACCTTATCAAATACAAATTTCTTTAAAATATGAAGAATATGGCAATCCAGAGATCTTGCTCAAGAAAAAAAGTCAAGATGAGTCCAGTTTAACTGATGATTAGATCATGTGAGATGTGATGCATGAGGGCGATATGTCATAGAAACATTATCAGGAGAGGTAGGGAGTGAAAGAACAGAACCAATTCACTGCTGGCAATTCTGGAACCTTTTTAAGCTGCATAACAGCAACACTAGAATAAGGCTGACTTGATGAATATTTGGTTAAAGATCAACATCCCAACTATGCCTGATTCTGATTCTTTTTAAAACAGCTGATTTTACATTTTCATACATATCCATGTCTAAAGTTCTATTCAAACAGATTCAAGCACAGTTAACATACAGTAGACCAAACCAAACCAAACTCCTAAAACACCAAAAAACCTCAACAGAAATAATGAAATAATACATTGCTAATATTGCCACATTTTTTTGGGGGGGTAGCGGTAGGAGTTCATTGAGACAGGGTCTCACTGTGTAGCTCAGGCTGGCTTCACACTGGTGAATCTCCTGTCTCAACCTTCTAAGTGCTGGAATTACAGGCCTATACTACCATAACAAGCCAGTCCATATTTTCATTTAATTTTATCTAACTAACCTAATTTTCACAGGAGTATGCTAATCTATAACTGATACTATTTTAAATTATCACCACTTCATTATGCAATGACCAAGAAAAACCCAGCTGCTTCTGTGCTTTTATATTCTTATACTTTAGATACTATTCTCAGGGCTTATCTAAACCACACTTGAAGATGGTCAACACTGAGAACTAGAAAAAGCTATACATATGAATTTAGGTTAATGCAGAGTAGATGCTTTCTCTATAAAAGGGAGCAAAACCAGTCTCAAAAAAGTAGAAGCACGAAAGTTTATGAGCAAAGTTATAAGCAAAAGAGCTGACAAATCACGGAGAGGATAAATGACATTAGGGATAATAACCATAGTCACTAACATAATGAGCCCTTCATAGTGGTTACATCACTTAGCCATCAGACAAACTCTATGAGGGAAGTGCTATTCTCATGTCCCTGTTTCATGTTATAGCTATTCAGCACTAGGTAAATTCTCTTACTTTCAAGCTTCACTGTTTATGGAATGGGAATAGCCCCTAACTCAAAGGGCACTTGTGAGAAGTGAGAAGATGCACATAAAGGGCCACACAAAGAATCAGTGCCAAAAGGGCTGGAGAGATGATGGTGCATGATGGTGCAGCAGTTAAGAGAACTGGCTGCTCTTGCAGAGGACCCAGGTTTGAGTCCTAGCACCCACATGTCAGCTAACAACCATCCATAACTCCAGTTCCAAGGGAATTCAATGGCCTCTTTTGACTTCCATGGGCAGTGCACCACATGGGTGCACTTATGTACATGCAGGCAAAACACTCATACACATGGAAAAAAAAGAATTAGTGCCAAGTTTAACACTAATAAAAGAAGTAATGAATGCAGTGAAACACTTATCCAGTACTTATTGATCCAGGAGAGTTTTTATTTTATGTGCTATTTATTATAAATGCTGAACTTGAAAAAAAATTATAAGAAAAGACACGTTTTCCTTATCTGACAACCTCTTGTGAAAGAAAGGTCCAGTGAGGGAAAATAAATTTAAAAAAGCTTATCCAGAATGTCTTTCAATTTCCAGATCCACAATTAATAAAAGGAAGAGCAAAACCAAACTACTCACCATGGATCAAATCCTGGTTGTCTTTTTGAGTGATTGGTTCCAGAACTGCTTTCAGATGGCAGAGAAGAAACTCGGGTTGACACATTATTTTCATGGAAAGAATTGTCTGGTCGTGGAGATGGCACTGAATGGAGAAGGAAATTACTGAAGTACTCCTCTAGTTAAAGCAGTTCTAACGTTGTCCTGTTGGATTTTCTTGGACACAAACACATATAACTAAAAGCCCTCACCTGTCTTTCACATAATATCTGTGTTTTCTGAGGGTGCAGGCATTCCAGGGAAGTTTCCCTCCTCAGCTACTTACATATTAACCTGCAAATGTCAGTTAATACCAGGCAATAAAGATTTCAAATAAAAAACCTGAGCTGTCAGCTGATGCACAGCAGAACATTTGGGAACATTTTAAAGTGGGGCATTTAAGGTATAACTATCATAGTTTTGGCATTCTTTAAAGTTGAGATTTTCGTTATCATAGAACAAACTATGCAAAATCTATTCTTAGTCTGAATTCTTTCTTAACAATATGCATACTGGCATGCTTTTAATCCCAGCACTCCAGAGGCAGAGGCAGGTGGTTCTGTGAGATCAAGACCAGCTTGGTCTACAAAGTGAGTTCCAGGCCAACTGATGCTACGGGGAGATCCTATCTTTTTTTTTTTTGTCTTTTTGTCTTTTGGGGATTAAAGGTGTGTGCTACCATGAGATCCTGTCTTTAAAACTCAAAAGGCAAACAACAACCCAAACCAGAAATAACAACAACAAAAAAACGTAAACCAGCAACAACAAAAAACCAATATGCAACCAACAACAAATAACATGCATACTGGAATATACAAAGTACAGTTTAAGTCTTGACACTTGGAAGGCAGTGTTATGCAGATCTCTAAACTAAATAAGGAAATTTAGCTATTTGTACAAAATAATAATTTTCTATAATTTTCATTTCAAGAATGAAAAGAAATAGAAACTATAATCTACTGAGTAAATTTTACTTCCAGGGGAGGGATAGCCACTTTTTTTTATCAATTTCTAAGCTTGACCATAAATAAATACTATAAAATTCATCATAAAAGTAATATACACATTATAATCAAGATAAGTGACAACAAGCACAGAGGTAGCTGTAATTCCAGCACTCAGGAGGCTGAGGCAGGAGGACTGACATGCATTTGAAGCCAGCTTAGGTTACATAGTGAGTTCTATGTCAGAATGATTAAGTTACAGTATGAGACACTGACTCAAAACAATGACAAAAAGTGACAATTTCACTTGCCTCTGGAAAAGTAAGAATGAAAATATTCTGGAAATATCTGTCTTGGTGCATCTAGAAACATCATTTCTTTTTCTTTTTTTAGATATATTTATATTTTATGTGTATAAGTGCTTTGCCTCTATGTATGTAAGTGCACCATGTGTGTGCAGTGCCTGCAGGGGCCAGAAGAGGGCATCAGATCCCCTGGAACTGGAGTTACTGATGACTGTTAGCTGCTATGCGGCTGTTGGGAACTGAACCCAGGTCCTCTAGAAAAGCAGAAAGTGCACTTAGGTGCTGAGCTATCCCTCTAGTCATCCATCATTTCAATGAAACTATGCTTATCTTCCTTCCACTAGGACTTACCAGTATCATTGAAATGACAGATGTTTCCAGGTGTTTCATTTAGTTTCATTTAGTTGAAACTTTTCCTTCTATTTCTGAACTTTTAAAAATGAGAATGTTCTACCTGTCAAATCCTGAAGTGGATTACGAGAGAGACAAAGGAGGTGTTTCTCTCATATTAACCAATTCAATCCATTTGCAATCAAAATAGTGTTTCCAGAAGTCAAAGACTAATTCATTTATTTAAAACTTTATTACCATTTTATATTAAAGTATTTCCTTCACTGTGCATTAAAGCCATGTTTGTAATGCCAGCACTTGAGAGACAGAGGCAGGAGGATCAAATCAAGCTCAAGGCCAACTTGGTCTACATGACTAGACTGTACCTCTCCCTCAAAGGAAAAACAAACAAAATACAACAAAAGGTATTTTCTCCAAACGTGTTTAGAAATAATAAAGTTTAAAATACATTTTAGAAGAGAAACGTGTTGAAAAAGGAATTTTGCTCATGTACAAGCAAAAATTAATTAATTTTAATCTGAATTAAAAGTTTAGCCCTGAGATTCTAAAGTAAACATGGAATTTAGGGGGGGGTCATTAAAAAGTATATTTAATGCCTCCTTTTCCAAAGATAGAGCTAGGAGGGACTAGAGTAGCCCTAAATCATTCAATATACATTTAGTCCCAAACAACCCTAGTATGCATTTATCTAGCTGAGATTCATAATTTTAATACGGCTAATTCCTGAACCTTTCCAGCTGTCTCTGTAAAACAAGCAGAAACAGCAAGAAGTGGGCTCAAAACCCAAGGCTGAGAGGACTCTTGAAGGATTTGTGTAGCTGAGCCTTCTGCCCTGTGGGCTTGCCGTCCATTTCTCCACCAGGATGCTGGGATTCTCAAATGTTTGGCATTCTATGATTACATAGTTATAACTTAAATGGGTTGCCTTTCTATATTAATGTCTCCTAAATTCACAGAACCTCAAAAATCATCTGTTTTAGTCATCTGTTCAATATAAAAATACATTTTTAAAGTTATGCACGTATAAGCCAGGTGTGGTGGCGAACCCCTTTAATCCTAGCACTCAGGAAGCAGAGGCAGGTGGATCTCTACGAGTTCAAGACTAGTCTGGTCTACATTTCGTGTTCCAGGCCAGCCAGGGATGTAGTCAGTCAGGACAGTGAAAATGTAGTGGTGGGCATGGGCTGGAGTTGTACTCAGAAGAGAGGAGAAGAGAGGGCTCTGGTAAATATCAGGAGTGGCTTACCTCTATAAAAGCTACCAACTCTCCTTGGGACAGGATCATTGTACAGATGTCGATTTTCTTTGGGGGCTGTACCATCATCAGAGTGTGGGTCATGATACACTCCACCCTGAGGCAGGAAACAAGCTAAAAGTTAAACCATAGATCAATGATAGTGCTGTCTACAACCAAGTCCAACCAGTGCCTAATCGATCTCTAATTTGCTCAATGATCTTTTAAAAAGAAAATTCAGGATTATGCTATGATAGAAACTACTTACTTTATTAGCAAGTTCAACTTATTTATGGAAAATTGGGTATGAATAAAGTTTGTAACAGCTAGGTTGTAATGATGCTAAGTGAATAATCCTTACAGATTATTCTATAATATGATGTAGCAACTGTAAAGAACTCAGACCTCAGACTTCTGACGAGTGTGGAATGAAGAGGTGCCTTCCCGGGAGGAGTCTTTAACAGAAGGTCTTGCCACAGTCATCTCTGGAGGGAGCTGTTCTCCAGGCTGGAAATCAAATTCAAAATGATTTAGAAAAGCATCCCATCCTTAGGGATGAAAAATCATCATGGTCTTTTATTTAATATAAGCAATACCTTAACCAGTTACACTTAAAAACTGTTAGCTGGCTAAAATAACGTGTTCCATAAAAGAGTAAAGTATCTGATGAATGTAAAATAAGTCCATCAAATTTGAACAGATGCAAAGTAAGATCATTAAAGTTAAGGCAAATAAGGAATAAATTAGTCTGAAAATGTGGAATTAATTATTTTAAAAAATCATCCCTCTATCTAGAAAGTCACAGTTCTAAGCATCACTGTAGTTAGAGAATCATCAGTCAGTCCAAAGTGCTCTCACAGATTTTTAGGCTGAGTTCTCCAAAAAGAAAGACAGAGAAGCAAAATCAATTTTTAGGGAGACTTACACTGCAGATGCAGATGCAAACAAATGTTTCATGAATGCAACACAGGAGAGGATAATTCCTCTTAATGATTTTTGTCTTAAGGTTTCCTAACTCTATGGTCTATGGTGCTTCGTGTTCTCTTGTTAATCTCCAGGAGCGCAGCTCCTCTGCCCCACATATTTCTTAGGCATGATCACGATGGACAGTGCCTATTGGTGGATATGCTCCCCCTACCTAGCTCCCTCAAGGGGGTGAGTCAAAACCACAGCATAGCACTGGGTCCGAACAGTGCCTGAGTGGAAAATACATTACATTATCTGCTCTAGAGTAGAAAGATTACTCTAGATACTGTAAGGAGTTAGCTGCATTTAGCATCTATATACTGTATACAGAAAGTAGTATCGCAAGCCTAGGTGATATATCCAAAATCTTCTAAAGTCTGAAATAGGATTTGATGTTTTTCCCCTTCTTCCCCAACATATTTGAAGAATTCTAGGAAGAAATTCATGTGGTAGGCCTTTCTTCTTCCTAATTTGTGCTTTACCACCTATACGTGTAGACAAAGAACTCTAGAAAGGTCATTTAAGAAATGTACTTACAATAAATCAGTTTAACCTACACAGAAGACTGGACTAACTGTTGGACCTAGCCTTGGTGGATGTGTAATTTTCCAGGGTTCATTTAAGCAAATACGATTTATATTTAAGTTATTCATAGCTCAACTGTGTCTCTGAGTAACATATATCATACACATCTTTCCAAGTCAAATTTCTGAATATTATATATTTTAAAACATTTATTTATTGGGGAGAAGTTAGGTCAATGGATGTACACGTGCCACAGTGCATGTGTCAGAGGACAACTTGCAGAAGCCTGTTCTCTCCTACCCTGTGGGTCCTAGGGATTGAACTTAGGTTGTCAGACTTGGCAGCAAGTATCTTTATCCACTGAGCCATCTCACTGGCCTGTAAACATTATTTTAGCAATATTTTTAAATTAAACTTTAAACAATATTTCTATAATCAATGCCTGTAATGGTTTGAGTGAGAAATGTCCCCCATAGGCTCAGGTATTTTAAAACTTGGTCCCCAGTTGGCACTGTTTGGGGAGGCTATGGAACCTTTAGGAGGTGGAGTCTTGCTGGAGGAGGTACACCATGCAGGTGGGTTTTGGGGGTTTATAGCTTCATCCAGATTCCTGCTTTCTCTCTCTGCTTCCTGTGTGCAGTTGAGATGTGAGCTCTCAGCTTCCTGCTCCAGCCACCTCCTGCCATGCCTCCTCCACAAGTGTTAACTCTCCCCCTAGAACTATAAGCCAAAATAAACTTTCTTCTATAAAAAAAAACAAAAAACAAAAAACAAAAAAAAGAAATGTACTTACATCTAAACTAAATCCAGTGAGTCCTCATGCTTTTACAGGTGGCCACAATACTTTGCATGAGAATGAGTCTCATGTTTCACTCACATCTCTTGCTACTTTTAAGTCTCTGGCCACCTTGGTGCCTTTAATTGTGACCTTTCTTAAGGCTTGGCATTCCACCTCCTGAATTGGACTTAAGTAACAGCTGGATCTACGCTAAGCCTACAACAATTGTTTATAATGAGTGTATGATCACTATGCTCACAAAATGATTCTGGATTCTCAGAGAGCCAGTCATTTGGCCTTTTTCCAAGTGAAACTGCCTTTTGTTTTTCTTCTCTGCTTGACACTGCTTAAAGCCAACATTCTTTACTTGGTTTTGACCTCCAACTCCTTTCCATGAGCAGCAGCCAGGTCTTAGAGATATTTCTAGCCTCTCCAAGTTCTCTTATCTCACAGTGAGTCCTGGGTCACTTCTGACCATTTCTATGACTCCAATTAAGGCCTCTGTAAGTGCTCACCTCCTGCCCTCCTCTCAAGTGGACACTAAGCCATCCTGACATCTTACACCGGGGAGACTGACTCAGGCTCCCAGCTCTACCTTGAGATACTAACTGGGGAAACAGGAGGCTCACCGACCTTCTGTGAGCATCAGCATGCTTCATCTGTGACATGAAAAAAAGTTGGATTAAGAGGTTTCACAACTCAGGACTGGGTGTGGTGGTGCATGCCTTTAATACCAGCACTCGGGAGCAGAGGCAGGTGGATCCCTGTGAGTTCAAGGCCAGCCTGGGTCTACATAGTGAGTTCCAGGCCAGCTGGGGCTACAGGGAGACCCTGTCTCAAAAAGACCAAAAAATAAAAAAAAGAAAAAGAATAAAAGGAGGTTTAAAAACTCTCTCCTGCTCAGAAAAGGAACTCCTAAGAAAGAAACCCTGAAGGCTTCCTTCATCCTGTATTTAATTCTGTAATTGGCAAGTTGTTCTATGACTTCTACACAGTCCTTGGGATCCACCGTGCTTTCTCAGTGGCACTCAATCCTGAACAATCTCTTCAGCTCCCATGAGACTTACTCCACTCTTCCCCTTTCACTCCAGCACTGCAGAGCCAGTTGTGATCCTGGCCGCATACCATGTCTTCTTGCTAAATTTCCCATCCTTTCAAGCCTTTTTCTTGCTGCTATCACCTTCTTCTCCAAGTGAAATCTCAACCTTCCCAGAATTCCCTGCTATGATGCCACCTCAACTGGGAACCTACCACAGGGCCCAGCCTGGACTGACATACTGCTTCTACCTTCCTTTAGACACTTAAGCATGGCCACTGGAATGAATCCTCATACTATCAGAGTGATCCATTTGTTGCTGAGTGTCTTCTGCCAGTTACAAGACCCCAGGAAGTCAGAGACCCTCTGGTTTTCATCATTCCAATCAGGGCCTTTCATGGTGCCTAATTCTGGACATGCCTGAAAATAGCTTTAGTCTTCAACCATTCACTTGTGTATACAAGTACTTAGCTGCCATGAAGTCTTTTCATACTGTTCCTGTTCACAGTGATTTCTCCAAATTCTCAACATGGCCAGTACCCTATGAATGTAGGCCTTAATGATTTCAAAGCTACTGTGCATAAATGAGTCTTCCTCGAGGGAAGCTAAGATTCTCAAGGGCAAGAACCTACCCAAAAGAAAGGGCACCCCCTGTCTAACAGCCTCACCATCACAGGAGCCATGGCAGTGACCAAAATCTGTTTGTCCTTGGTTCTGTGCTATACTTATATATGAAAATATGGGAGGACAGAAAAGGCCATCGGATCCCCTGGAACTGGAGTTACAGACAGTTGTTAGCTGCCATGTGGATGCTGGGATTTGAACCTGGGTCTTCTGAAAGAACAACCAGTGTTCTTAACCGCTGAGCCATCTCTCCAGCCCCCGAAAATACAATTTTCAAGTGACTGTTTTGTAAGAATGTTACTGCTTTTACACAGGTTAGTCTCATTTCCCAGAGTCTGGTCAGCAGGACTGAGAAAGCTTTATTCCAAAAAAATTGTCTTGAGATTTAAAACCAACCTAGAGCTAGTAAGACCCTCTGCAGTTAAGAGCATATACTGCTCTTACAGCAGACCAGAGTTCAGTTCCTAGCATCCATGATAGGTAGCTCACAACCTCCTATAACTCCAGCTCCAGTGAATCTGATGCCTCTGGGCTCTGCAGTCACCTGCAATCACATGCATTTACCCACCCACGTTAAATATACATACATATATATTTTTTTTAAATCTTAAAAAATGTCAAAAGTATTTGGGAGCTCTTATCTAATCCTTAAAATATTTTAGGGTTACCTCTTCAGAGAGGGGAATGTTAGAGTAGCAAAAAGCCCCATAAAAAAAATAAAGAAAGAGTACATGAAGTTATCAGAAAAAAAGTGATGGGGAGATATGGGAGGAGTTGGAGAGGAGGGATTGGGCATGGATTTGATCAAAACACCTTATATGCATGTACAAAATTCTCAATAAATTATTTAATAAAAAAAAAACAAAAAAAACTTCAAAAGACTAAAAAGTTAACATTTATCCTGGACTAAAGTTAAATTTATCTAGCTTTAGGTAAATGTAAAATTTTAATTCAGTTAAGATAGTAGGCATTAGCAATCAAGTTTAATTGAAACAAAAGTAGTTTAAAAAGATGAGAGAAAATACCCAAGAATTCACACTAAATTTTGAAATAACTAAAAGATAACCCATATTGTTAAATTCCATAAAAATAATCTGACACCACAGTATGTCAGATAGGAACATTCAAGAAATATATTACTAAACACCAAATGAGCTGTCCTGAATACTCAAAAGTTCACTTAAATATTTAAATTACTATTTAAAAAAAATAAAGATTGTTTCCTCCCATTCACTCTTCCAATGAAAGCAAAGCTGCTCACAGTTGGGAAAATTCCACAGTAACCCCATAAACGTCCCTTGTGCCACCTTCCCAAGATCAGGTCAAAGTGCCAAGCAGTACCTGGGGTGATAAGAGTTGCAGGCTGTTGGCTCTGGCCGCCATCCCTTGCCCTATACTCAAGTTTCCGTCAAGGCCTTTGGCTCTCACTTTGTCCCGGGTCACATACATGGAATGCCTATGAGGACGCTGCTGAGAGGAGAAGGGGCTGGTGTAGCCTAGCCCATAAGAAAAGGATTCATGAGGTGCCGACAGCGAGTGAGAATGGCTGCCGTCCATGTGCTCAGGCAGCTTCAACTCTTCCATCGTTTTTGAGTGCCTGGTCACCGTTCGGCGAGAGTCCAGAGTGCCCTCATTTCGGTTATTTCTCCCTGAAGGGCTGAGCAAAGTTCTCGTGTCACTGTGCCTGGTGGGGGTTGGGCTGGCGGGAGAGTTCAAGTCCAAGCAACTGGATGGGAAGTACCTACTGGTATTAGTCTCTGTGATTTGGGCCCTGGCTTCAGAAAGGTTGCTCACAGACTTGGAGTCACTCAAAGCCCCGTGGCTTTTGGCCTTGGTCCTGTAGGAGGGGCTCCTGGAGGACTGCGGAATAGTGTCGATATAGCTGTGCCGGCTCTGTTTCTCACTAGGCTGCAGTGTCCCAGCTTTGCTCTGAGAGCTTTCCATGAATGAGTGCCGGTTCTGCTGGGATCTGCTGCTGGACTTGAGGTACTTTGTGCCTGGTCCTTCTGAAGGCTTTGGGTCAATATTAAAGTCAAACTCTGTTTTGGACTTGGCTTCTTTCGGGCTAAGAAGGTGTGGTATGTTGTTGTTGGTAAGATCTTTGCTGGCAGACCCAGGCTGGGTGCTTGCTTGGTAGGTTTTGGTATGCATTGGACTAAGAGTAGCTCCAGCAAGGTTTCCATTAAGGAAGCTTTCATTTGCAGGAAGGCCTTCCTCAGCACGGGGCAGACCCACACTTAGGTTTTGAATGTCCTTGCTGTTTGATCTGTGGTGAGTCTGTAAAGCGGCACCTTTGCTGGATTGGTTTCTGTGTTAAAAACAAAAGAGGTAAACTAGTTCTCAAATGGTAAAGAACAAAAGAACATACTTAAAACACCTGAGGGGTTCAGGGAACATTGTGGAAGAAAGGGGGAGAAGAATGTAAGAGAGGAGGGATAGGAAGGGATGCTCTAAAATACTGTTTTCTGGATATGACATGGTTGTCACACACATCATCTCACTGCAGCAGTGCTTACTTATACAAGACTGGGCCCATCAACAACATAGGACTCCACCCATCCCAGAGTTGCTATATAGACAGGTAAAGGCTGAAAGGGGAATGGGGAATCATATCTCTCAGTGGTACAGACACTGGCACATTGCTCCCACTCAAGCAAACAACTCTGTAACCATGCTCAAAAGACAATCCTAATTAATATCTCTCCTCTCTCTCTCTCTCTCTCTCTCTCTCTCGTACACATACACACACACACACACACACATACACACAACATTAAGGTAGGATAGGGACTTGGAAAAAAGGGATTTGTTGGAAGGAGAATGGGATAAGAGGCTAATGAGGGAAACTGAACAAAGAAAACTTTATGTATGAAATTATAAAAGAATATTTTTAAAGAGGTTAAAAATCTGAATGACTAAAATCATTAACTTAGATACATGGCTATCAATAACAAGTAACCTATCGATAAGAACCAAACTTCTCAGTCTAAGTCACTCATCAACAAAGCACTAGTCCTGATGAAGTTATTTTGGCCTCCTTAAATGCTTGTCTATCTTGCTGCCAACAGAGTCACTAACTGATAATCAGGTAAAACAAGCTTTGTCTATATTAGTATTTCTGTGAGTATTTGTTACAGAAATATCTGGTGAGAAGAAGCAAGCTAAGTTATAGGCAGACTCTTGACAACTTGAATGTCAGAAGACAACAGTTAGACTTGCAAGTTACTGTGTACTTTAAACTTCATTTTTGTTTGTAAAACCTGTAGGCTGACTCAGATCCACACAATATACTCACACACATATGTCAATGTCTTGTCTTTAGCTTGTAGAGTCAAAGAATGAGAATTCTAGAAATGTTTAAAAAAGTCACTCTAAAAAGAAATATGAACTGACCAATAGGTCTGTTGGAAAACATGATCTGTGTTTATATTTTAGAGAAGTGGCAATTACTTGGGGCTCTTGAGATAGCTCCTTATACATTAAAGAGAAATGTGTCACTAAATGTTCAGATATTTCTGTGTATACTAAACAGGAATCCTATACTGGAACACAGGGTCTTAAGTGTTAATTGCTTGGTGAAAGACACAATTTAGTCTTTTTTTCATTTTACACTTCATTATTCCAAATGACCAAGGCCTTCTTTAGGACCCAGGAAAAAACCTTATCTTCTGTCTGAAAGCTGGAATAATGTACTAGAAAAGTCATCTTGTTCTATTGTAAGTAGCCAAAGGATGAGATTATGGCTTAGGATAGGTTTCAAATGATTTACATAACTCACTAAAATTTTTACTGTGTATCCAGAAAATGTTTTAAGAATTGCTATTAGTAAAGATGGACTGATCTGGAAGAATTTTGTTTCAATTACACAGTAATTGGAACAAAGGTCCTTTGTTGTTATTTTGTAAGGATGACAACCAACTATGCCTTCTCATTTTCCCAGATTTAGAAAGGAATTACAAAGGAAAGTTAAGTTGTTTTCTGTTGAATGATGTATAAAGAACTTATCTCCAAATCAATAAAGGACAGTGCCATGCACAATGGTGTCTGGAAGGCTAGTAACATGGATGGTAAAAGAATTTACCAGAGACAAGAACAGATAGAGACATACGGGGACAGGGGGAGGACTGTGGAGAGAAAGAGAGACAGACACAGAGAGAGAAGAGAGAGAGGGAAAAAAGGAGGGAAGGATGAAGGGAGGGAATGAGGGAGGGAGAGAGAGGGAGAGAAGAGGTAGAGAGAAGTTTGAGATACACTGTAAAAGGTACTGTAGGCAATCTCCTGGACAGAGAGAGGATCAAGTGCTGGACCGAAGGGCAAGCCCTTTTTATAGAGGTTGAAAGGAAAGTGGTTAGGTTACTGAGTGGAACATCGGTGTGGGTGATATATGGATGACTAAGTGGATATCTCACTATTTTGCTAAAAAATAAGTTTTATATTGTGAGTTCTTTCTCTTTGGGATTGGCAACCTGTGTAAAGACATCATGAGTTGCTAGGAGTCAGATTCTAGATGTTTTCCCTAAGATAGACTGTAGCTAGGGCTTGTTATGGTTAACTTTCTGATGAAATAACGGTCCTGTTTGGGGTCACTGGCCTTGCTCTGAGCCACACCTGTTCTAAGGTTAACACACTTCAGCACTACTATCTACCCAAGATCAATATCTAGACAATCCATGTGTCCTAAGGGTACTGTTTTTTGTTTTGTTTTGTTTTTTTAAATTGATTTATTATTTTTATTTTATGTGTATGAGTATATTGCCTGCATGTAGGTAGGTGTACCTGTGCTGTGCAATGCCCAGAATAGGGTGTTGTATTCCCTGGAACCGGAGTTATGGATGGCTGTTAGCCACCATGTGGGTACTGGGAATTGAACCTGGGTCCTCTTCAAGAGCAGTCAGTGATATTAGCTGCTAAGCCATCTATCTCTCCAGCCCCAGGTATCAGGATTTTAACCACTAGAGTTGCCTGCCAACTTATAGTTTGGTAACTAAATTATCTCAGGAATGTTTCAAAAACTCAATGACGATATGCAGTCATCCACAAATAGATCTGAGTAAGTATGCTGGCTATTCTCCATTAGCCTGACTCTCAATGCATTCCCCACTCCTCTACCCAGCCCTAGGAGCACATCGCTGCATACTGTGTCCTTCAGGCTTCTAGTTGGCTACCTTCTGGTAGAGCTTAGTAGGGGAAGGAAGGTATCATAGGACAAGAAGAGGCAGAAGCTGGGAGCAGTCTTCCCTGCTTCTTCCTGGTAAGGCACCCTGACTTAGATCCTAGTTAAATCCCTTCCATGTTGCTCCTCCTGTCCAGCTCCAGCTCTCTCTGGAATCTTATTTTCTCCCTTCTCCCTGCAGCCTAAGAAAGAGCAATGACAGATGTGTCTTCCCCTTAAAAGAAGACCAGAAAGGGACAAAGAACAGTAAAGACAGATGCTAGAGCCTCTAGAACTCTCAGAATGACTGCTATTGATGGCAAACACAAACCTACACATAATCTTACACCTAGCCACAGCAACAGCAGAAAAACAAAGCTAGAAAATTAAGGCAGAAACATCTGTCAAAGATTTAGATTTACTATAAATATACAAAAAGCACCTAAACAGCTATTCTGAATGCTTCTGTCTCAGGATTAATTGGAAGCCACTGAGCTTTACATACACAATAATTCCTATTTAGAAAGGACAGCATATTATCTTGAAATTGGAGCTCTGCCAAAGCACAACAATAAAAAAACAGTTTTGAAAATTCCATAGATCTCTTTGACACACAACTGTAAAGAATCTGTATTAAACTTTCAACTACTTAAAAAGCTTTTATGTATAAACCACCTTTTTTGTTTTTGTTCTTTAGAGGCAGGGTCTCCTGTAGACTTAATAGGTTCAAGCTCACTAAGTACCCAAAGTTGGCTTTGAATTCCTTATCCTCCTGCCTCCATTTACTGAGTGCTGGATTACAGGTATGTACTACCATGCTTGGCTATAAATCACTCAAATACTTGGCAGAGTAGATGGATGGATAGATGGCTAATGCAGTTACTTAAACTAAGAGTTTAAAAGCAAAAATAGCCAGGCATGATGACACAAACCGACAGTGCAGTGCCCAAGAGGCGGAGGATAGCTACAACTTCAAGGCCAGCCTGGCATGCATAGTGAGTTCTTGGCCTGGCAGAGACACATAGGGAGATCTTATCTCAAAACACAAACAAATAAGCAAACAAACAAAAATAAAGGCACAAAATATGATTGGAGACAGGAGGCAAAGTAGAACTGTTGACGGTAATGCAGGGCAGCCAAAATGGTGTCGCACCACGAACAATGTGAAAAGAACCTCAGAAGAACCTGAAGGCAAGCAAGTGGCTGAGTAATTGCCCACTGCCTCCAACAGAGAAAGAATCTGGAAGACAGGATGACAGTGTTATCTTCTGGGACAGGGCAGAGAGTGTGTAAGTGGAAACTAATGGATCTGGTGCTGTAAATATACCTACCGTGAGAGGTCTATGTTGAAACATCAGCTAGAATTCATGTCTCTGGCTAGAAAGGCTTCCATGGAATAAATATGGACCATAGACAAGAGTGAGGAGATGAAGTAAGATTATAAAAAGAGAAACTCTTTAGGACTTTTTCTTTAATATATTCAATACAGCACCGAAGACTTTCCATTAGGATCTCTTCCATTTCTTTATTTGTAATTTCTATTGTAAAGAGAGTCTCTACAAGACAGATATATAGCCTCCTTTCATGGTATAGGTTGTACCACGAATGATTACAGAACAACTCACACATTTATTACCAAACTCTATATCTTTGGGAGAATTTTCTTTGTAAATATAAACCAGAGCAAGCATGTGACTATTTAAGTAGAAGAAGGGAGATCAAAGGCCCAAAACTGGATATGATGCCAGATAAGATACAATTAATAATGTGAACCTGCCACGTGCAAAGGAGCAATCAAATGATGACTGCTATTCCATGGCTTACTGTACTAAAATCTTGTGGATAAAAAAAGAAAAAAAGGCCAAGAATGGTCTGAAAGATGCCATCTTAAAGAAGAGTAAACAGCTCTGAATCATGCTTTCACAGCTAAGCAGAGCAAATACAGGACCCAGGCTTATTAATTTATGGATATCCTCCCAGACCTAAAAGCGCCAGGTCTTGAGTGCTTAAAATGTCAGCCTATTAAGAATAATGTTTCATATATGGAAGGAAAATCTGTGTGTGTGTGTGTGTGTGTGTGTGGGGTTAGTATTTAAAATTTAAAACCTTCATTGTTTTCTATTTTGTTCCTAATAGTAGATGAAATAAACTACTTCTGCCTCCCATAATGTAATAATCTCAGATGCCAAAACTCAGTTTTTGGGTGGGAAGGAAGAAAGGAATGTTTTGTTTAGAACATAATTCTCATAAAAATGCATCAACAAAATTCGGAGTGTCAGGACTGGAAAGCCAACCCAAGTGATTCTCTCTCTCTCTCTCTCTCTCTCTCTCTCTCTGTGTGTGTGTGTGTGTGTGTGTGTGTTTGTGTAGTGTGGTATGATGTGTTTCAAGAAACAGGTTTTTCAGCCAGGTGTGGTGATACTTGCCTGTAGTCCTGGCACTCAGGAGCCAGAGTCAGGAGGATTACAGCAAATCTGATGCCCGCTTGGCCATATAATGAGTTTCTGAGTGCTAGGATTACAGCTATTCCTATGCAAGAAACAAGATTTTTGAACACTACACTGAAAAAAGCTATTTAAAATGTATTACTTAATTTTTAAATTTATTTATTTTATTTTTAAGTGTTTGAGTGTGTTGCCTACATGTATACACGTGTTGTACAATACCCACAGAAGCCAGAAGAGGGTGTCAGGTCCCCTGAAACATGAGTTACAGATGGTTGTTACCTATCATGTAGGTGCTAGAAACTGAGGCCAAATCTTTTTCAAGAGCAGCCAGTGCCATCTCTGTAGCCCTGTAAAATGCACTATTTAATTATTGATTTCACTATTTCCATATATTTATCTTTATGAAAAACTAATTTCTCAACTAAATGATTAAGAGGCAAGAACAATAAAATGATAAAACCCTTCGAAAATGGTAGCTTACTTGGGGTAGGAGAATCCCCACGTATGTGTTCAGCATCCTCTTCTCTGTCTAGAAATCCCTTTGTCCTGCCTGGCCTATCCTTCCTTGAAACATCACCCTTGGATGCCATTGCACAAAATCTGCTAACTTTTGATGCTATAAGCCTCCTGAATTGCTAACTCAATGATACCTTTCCAAGGGAATGCATAGATTTTCATAATATTCTTGTTAAAGATAAGAAACTCTTTAAGACCCACACAACTCTTTAATTATAGTTCTGAATCATGTAATAAGCATAAGGAAGATATTTTTGAATAAAGAGGACTTTCCTTCTTTTCTCTAATTGCATAATTTTAGCAGCCACCTCCTCTACCTACTTGTAAGACCATGATTGCATTTGTATTTCCTTAAAAGGGAATATTTACCTATTAGACAATGTGCTGCTTTCCACATGGTAAGGTTTCCTTTTTGTTGACCTTGAGGGAGAACGATCCAAAAGTCTCTGGGTTTGAAATGTAGGATGATTCAAACACTGCTCTGTCAAGTATCTGTCAGCTGGATCCAACTTCAGTAAGTTCTTAGGAAATAAAAGTTTAGGAATGGAAAGAACAAAGTTGAATTTAAATCCTACCATAAACCTTATCTTTTCTTCCTAGAAAAGAAAATACATGGTCATTGCAAAATACCTACCAATGATAACTCAGGGAAAGAAAAAAGTCATTGAAATCAACCACAATCTCACAATTATTGTCTTCTTAGTAGATAATCCTTCCAGCCTCAATGTTTTGAATATCACATATAGTCTTTCTTCTATAATATCTGGCTCATATTATATACATAAGTTTTTATATCCCACTGTTTTCACTTATGAAAAATATTTTTGCAATATAATTTAAACATTTAAAATATTTTTAGTAAGTATGGATTAACATTCTTCATCTTTCTTTTGTCCCCCAGCTACCCATTTATTCTCCTGGAGACAGCTCAGCTCTCTAGTTCCTTGTGCCTTGTTCATGAGGTATATTCTATGCATGCCTTTATTGGATCCTTTTCATTTCACTCAAACAGTAACATATATATAACTGTATATACTTAGCATCCCTTCCACCTAGCATACACTGTTGGGATCATTCCATATCAGTAAAGCATTTCAACTCTGTGTATGTACTTTAGTTTATTTTCAGAAATTCCCAAATGAGAAATACATGTTTTCTGAACATGTGGCAACAATCTCATAATATACTTTGGGGAGGGAGTGAAGGCAAGGCTTTGTGTATAATAGGTAAGTACTACCACTAAACTACATACCCAGACCTTACAAAATGTTTTTAAATGATTACATAGATGCTTTCGGTACAGATATATTATTATTTCCTTAGTGAGCATCCTAGTACTGGACATTCAGATGACAGCCACTTTTCACTATTTTAATTAATGTTATGATGAAACATTTGAAAAATTTTATAGGGTGAATTCCTAAAGATGGAACAGCAGGTAAAGAATCTTTTCTGGGTGTTGCTCATTAGCTCTTAGGAAGGTGTCAAATTATTTTCCTCTCAGGAATTATATGACTATCATTTTTTCAGTAATCTCACCAACAACAGGCATTCTCATTCTTTTTAGTAGATGTAAACTAGGTATTTAAAAGATGGTATCTCACAGATGTTTTTTAAAAATATTTTATTATTTTTATTTTATATGTATGAGTGTATTGCCTGCATGTATGTGAGTGCACCCGTGGGAGGTCAGAAGAGGACTTCACATTCCCCTGGAACTGGACTTAAGGATGGTTCGTTGCCGCTATGTGGGTGCTGGGAATCGAACCTGGATCCTCTGTAAGAGCAGTCAGTGCACTTAACCCCTGAGCCATCTCTCCAGCCCCTCACTGATGTTTTATTTTTTATTTTTATTTATTTATTTTTTTAATTTTCTGTGTATGCGTGTATTGCCTGCATGTAGGTAAGTGCACCCGTGTCGTGCAATGCCTGTGGAGATCAGAAGAGGCTGTCAGATTGATTCCCTGGGACTGGAGTTATGGATAGTTGTTAGCTGCCATGTGGGTGCTGGGATTCAAACCTGGTTCTTCTGCATGAATAACCAGTGTTCTTAACTGCTGAGCTCCCAGATGTTTTTAAAAAAGAAAACATTTTATGTCTGTGTGTGTGTGTGTGTGTGTGTGTGTGTGTGTGTGTGAATGTATATATGTGTATTATACATGTGCAGGTGCCTCTAAAGGCACCTATAAACTGGAGTGAAATGCAGTTGGGAGCTGGGTGCTGGGAACCAAACTTGGGTCCTCTGTAAGAGCAGCAAGTGCTTTTAACCACAGGAGCCATCTTTTCAGTCTCTCTCACAGTTTTTCTTAACACATATCTTTGATTAGTAGCAAAGCTGAACACTTTCATATGTTTATTGACTACTCATATGTTCTTTTTATTTTTTTCTGTTTCTATTATTTGTTTTCTGCTCATGTTTTGGTATCCATCTTTATTTCTAAGTGTTCTCTTTTCTTTAAGGTACCAACACTATCCTTTATGTTGGACATATTAGATTCTTTTTTAAAGATTTGCTTATTATCTTTATTTTATGTGTATACATGTTTTGTTTGCATCATGTGCATGCAGTGTCTGCAGAACACAGACAAGGAAATCATATTTCCTAGAACTGGAATTACAGGTGGTTGTGAGATCCCATGTGGGTGCTGTCAATTGAACCCAGGGTCTCTGCAAGAGAAGATCTGGTTCTTAACTGCTGAGCTATCTCCCCAACCTCTATATTAGATTCTTGACAACTGAAATGTTTTCTTCCAATATTATTTATCTTAATAACTGGACAGGATTTTAAAATAAATCATTAAGGCAGACCTATAAAATAATCAAATATCTTTTAAAAAAATCCATAACTGACATATTCTAATAAAACATAAAAAAGTAGTGAAATTTGGTCTTCTAAATGACATTTTCCCTCAGAAAAAAGAAGAAAGGTAAAATTCCAGCATTCACAAATTTATCTCTGTTCAGTTTGGTTGGTTTTATCCATAAGTAATCTCTTTAACTAGTGAGAGAAAACATGCTCCAAATAAGTCAGACTTCACTTTCAACATAGTATCAGAGAAGATTAGAATTCTGGTCATACCATATACTCAAATAATCACTTTGATCCAATGATTTGAGTTATTGAAAGCCAAACTGCTAATTACATACAAATGAATTTATATTCATTTTAATTCAGACACAACTGTAAACTATCTCAATTCTTTTTTCTTCCTTACTATAGAATAAAAGCTGTGGGGGTATATATGATGATTTAAAGATATTTTATTTTATTTTGTTTGTATGAGTGTATTATTGCCTACATGTATGAAAGTGTACCCATATTGTGTAATGCTAATCTCTATGAGCTGTGTAATAACCTGTGGAGGTTAGAACAGGGCACCAGATTCCCTTGGAACTAGAGTTATGGGGATGGTTGTTGGCTATAATGTGGGTGCTGGGAATCAAACCCAGGACCTCTAAAAGAGCAGCCAGTACTCTTAACCACTGAGCCAGTCCTCTATATGATGATTTTTAACTAGTAGTTATAACAATTATCATCAAAATGGTTTCAAATAGCTGGGTATGGTGGTACATGACTTTAATCAAAGCACTCAGGAGGCAGAGGCAGGAAGAGTTCTGTGAGATCAAGGCCAACCTGGTCTGCATAGCAAGTTCCAGGCCAGCTGGGGCTACAGAAAGACCCTGCCTGAAAAAGATCCCCCCAAAATTAATTAATTAAAAAATGGTTTCAAATACAAGATGCAAATTTAAAAAAAGGAAACTCATCCCCTGAGAAGACTTTTTAAATCCAAAGTACACATGTCCTTTCAGGAGCATTGGTGTTATTTTGATTTATTTGATATCATGTAGAAGTTACTGCACATGGAAAAACTACATTTATGACATGAATACAGCTGTTAATTTTCAAATTACTTTGTGATCAAAGTATGAAATTTACCCAGCTAATGAAAATGTGGTACATTTACACAATGGAGGTCTACTTGGTGGTAAGGAAAGGAGAAATCATGAGATCTGCAGGTAAATGGATGGAACTAGAAACTGTTATACTAAGTGAAGTAACACAGACTCAGAAAAACAAGCAACTTATGTTCTCCCTCATCTGTGGATCTTAGCACCAATCCCATATATATGAGTTATATCCTGATGCAACAGCAGGAGCCAGGAAAATGGAAAGGAACAACAGAGGTAAAGGGAAAGAAAGAGTCCGAGAGAGGGAAACATAGTAGGAAACAGATGTTACCAAGGGAGAAATGGGGGAAATGGGGGTGTTCAACTGGGAAGGAGGAGAGAAGGTCATACAAGGAACCATGGGAATAAAGGGAGATAATAGGAGATAGGTATTATCAAGGGGAAAATGGGGGCACTTAAATTGGGGAGGGAGGTGGGAGGTTAGACAGGGAGAGAGAGAGAGGAGAGATAAAGCTTAGGTGGTATGAAAAGCCAGCAATAAACGTATTAACTCACCCCCCACCAGAAAACTACACATACAATATCTGAACATGAGTGCATGTGTTTACTTGAAGGCTATATAACAAGAAACACAGTGCCAGACAGGAGAAACCTCCCTTCTGGTTGTTGGCTGGGGTAGTCTAAGAGACTCCCAAAATAATACAGGCTATTGCCACAGCCCTTGATTACCTCCCAGAACTAGAAAGTAAGATCCTTTAGCTGTAGACAGGACATACTTGGGACACAGGACTTGGAACAATGGAGCTGGAACTGATCTGGAAACCTCCTTCCTGAAGACTAGCTCTCATACTTCTAGAGAACACTATGCAATCTGTTAAGGGAGACAGTCTATCAATGGTCCAACCCAGCTGTAAAGCCCAACAGCCACAATGACTGGCACAGCAAACTATCTCTATTGGTGCAGTAGTGGCACTTTTATCTAGGGGATAATCAACAGCTATCTAATTGGATTTAGGGCCCTCTCAGTGGGAGAGAACTAAAATCAATCAACGGTCCAACCCAACTCTAAAGCCTCATAACCACAACGACTGGCAGAGCAATCTACCTCTATTGGTGCAGCAGTGGTACTGTTACCTAGGTGGTAATCAACAGCTATCTAATTGGATTTAAATCCTTCTCATTGAGAGGGAACTCATGGGTGACACTGTAAATATAGCCAAATACACATGACTGGAGAAGTCATAAATCCTAGAGAAAAGCCTCTATCATATCTCTAGACAATGAAATTTCTTATTGTATCCTAAATACGGATCCTTATATTTTCCGACAAGTATACCACATACCACTTATCAAAGAAGCTTCTTTTTGCAACAGATGGAGGCTATTACAGAGTTTCACAACTGGTTACACACAGAAAATATATGTGTGAGAGATGCCCAGGCCTAAGAGACACATCTACAGTAGAACCTCTACAATGAAGGCTCATGGAACAGTGGAACAGGGGTAAAGACAATACTAATACATCCCTCAACTCTCACCAACAAAGCTTCCTCATACAACAGAGTGTGATGCACAAAGAAGGCCACAACTGGCCAAGTTTTAAATAAGAGACTGCAGAGTGTGTGTCCCTGATGATTCCAGTATTAAAACTCACCCACCCATGACTCAGGGACCACTGGGGAAGAGGGGGTAGAAAGGTTGTAAGAGCCAAGGTTGGTACATGAACTTAAGGAAAGAGGCTTTCAGGCCTCTGGGAAACTTGCTCATATGAAATTGCGATGATGACAGTATGACCAAGGCCTGTGAAGATGCAATCAGATACAAAAAACCAGCATAGAAATTGAGAAATGTGTAGCAGGCCAATAGCTGAGGAACTGTTGGCAACTGATTACTGCAGGGTGAGGAAGAGTAGATCTTCTTTAAGGGAGTGATTCTAGAGAGGCTGACTAGACTCCAGTGGATGAAATTGTACTGAGGGTTATCTGGGTACAAATGCTTGACCAGATAGGCCTTAACATGTATTACAGAATTCATGAAATCTGGTGTGGAGAAGGCTATGGGGGGACGCAGACGGGGGAGGGAATTTAAATTTGATTAAGAACTGTTTCATGAAATACACATAAGAAAGAGCATTTTGAGGAAAACATCATTTTTTAAACTAAAGAAAAGAAAATTTAGTTGTTGCTTTTCCAAAAATTACTAAGTGCATTAATTCTGATTACTTGTTTGCCCTCAAAAATGGCAGCTATAAAGAGGTACAGAATGAGATGAACATTTTAGGTATTACATGTAGACAAAAGCATCAACATGCATTTAGGGAATAACAAGGAGAGTAACTGAAGGGCAATGGAGATTTCCGATTTTGAAATTCAGCTTCAAAAACAGCTAAAAATGGCTGACGAGATGGCTTGACACTTAAGAGAGCTGGCTGCTTTTGCAGAGGATCTGGGTTTGGCTCCCAGCACCCACATGTTGGCTAACAACTCTCCCTAATTCCAGTTCCAAGGAATTCAACGCCCTCTTCTGGCCTCTGTGGGTAATGCATGCACAGGTGCACTTACATACATACAGGCAAGATATCATACATATAATTTTTTAAAAAAGAAAAAAGACAAAAAGAATAGTATATGTGTATATATATTCTGTAATAATGAGGCACTATTAATCAGTGACAGAAATTGGAATTATGGTTTCTGAAGGCAGAGTGGGCCAGGAAGGTAAAATCTTGGAGGATTTCTGGGGTACTAATTTCTTATGTCTAAACCCAGGTAAAGAAAAATATGTTTACATTATAAAAACTCACTGAGATGTCAACAAAATAAGTACTTTCTGAATATATATTATAATAAATGTTTGCTTACTATTAAAGAACTATATCAGTAAATATATTAAAGAATAATCAGGAATTGGAGTGTTGAAATTCCAAAGTGGTAAAAGTACATGAAGATTCAGGGCACTATTTTATTTTTATCTGCACTAGGTTTTAGTCAGCACTTGCTTATATTCAGGTACTATAGTGGTGACTGGTAATAAGATGTGGTAATTATTCAATTATTTTTAACTAAAGGGGAAAAATCAAAAGTTAGGAAATATAAAATTGTATTTAATTCCATTTTCCTACTGTATTTTTTAAAAGTTATTAAATGATTAAGGCCTGATCAATAAGAACTGACTACATGGAAAAAGGTATTGACAAAACCCAGGTGATTTTTAACTGATAATTTATGCATAATTAAACTGAAAGTGTGTTGAGGTTCATTTAAAAAAATAGCATTTCTCAATTTGTGTTCAGAAATTTTAGAGTGTTATGAAAAATAGTGTTTGGTATTTAATTAAATTTGAGAAAAGTTGGATGACACAGAAATGCTTATTTACTGTGAGATCGCTGAAAGCCTTGATAGGTTAATGAATATTGTGACACTAGAAAGGTTATGTGCTATGTGGCCTTTCCCAAATGCCATAGCCACTCCCCTATAATAGCCTCCACACCTATTTACACTGTTCCCTAGGACACATGAACATTCCTTAAAGCACAACCAAGTTCTAAGAATACAGCTCAGCAACTTGCAACTGTGCTGTGCTTTCTGAAGGTTCTACATACATTGTATCCACCACATTTTGACAGGTGAATAAATGGGTATAAGAAAAAAAAAAGGGATCCATGAACAAGCTTTGGTGGTCTACTCTCAATCAATACTTGTCTGTGCATTTACTCTCTGAAATGAAAACTGAGGAAATATGAAAAAAAAAGTTTTCATGCAGGGGACTATTGTTCATTGGGGAAGAAAAATTTTTTGTTGTTTTTAGGACCATGTCTTATTCTGTAGGCCCAGCTGGCCTCAAACCTACAAGAATCCTACTGCCTCAATTCCCTGATGTTGGGATTAAAAGCATGTACCACCATGCTCAGTAAGAAAAATTTTAATAAAGAAAGATGAGGATGTTTTAATAGTTTAGAGCAGTATGTCTTTTCACAGGAGTGCTAGTCAAGGAGGAACACTCAGGCTATGGTACTAGCAGTGATTCTGATACATTTAAAGAAGAATCAGAGAGAACAATCTGTCTAGGGGAGAAAAGGTCAGGTCATTAAAAAAAGAATTAGATTCAGTGATTAAATCTGTATAGATCATGAGTAGCCTTCAATGTCATATAAAAATAACTGTAGAATCTTTTTTCTTTTAACATTCACTTTAATATTTTTTTGAAATGTATTCCTGAGTCATTCTTGAATGTCAAAAGTTTATTATTCTGCCCATTTTCAGAAAGTAATTGAGGGATTGCATGTTCCTGAATAGAAGGACTGATATAACACCATATTTCTGTTGCAATTATGTATTAATTACATGCCTTTTAAAATGACAGTGTCAATTAATCATCTACTAACAAAATATTTTAATTCATAAAGCAGGCTATTATCACAAGTAGACAGAGGACAATCTATAAAGGGAAATATTTTGTACAATCATCTACCTCATGAGGCTAGAGAGATGGCTCAGGGGTTAAGAGCACTGACTGCTCTTGCAGAGGACCCGGGTTTAATTCCCAGCACCCACATGGCAGCTACAATCCATCCTTAACTCCAGTTCCAGGGGAACCCGACACCCTCTTCTGACCTCTGAGGCATTGCATGACACGGGTGCACTCACATACGTGCAGGCAATACACTCATACACATAAAATGAAAATAATAAATAAAAAATATATTTAAAAAACCAAACATCTACCTCACTTACCTTCATTAGGTCAAGCAAAACACTGTTTAAAATTCCAAGGTATCTTCTCTCCAATGACTGAGGATGGTTTACAGCTGGAAACTGTAAGGACAACACAACACAAATGTTAGCATTTGGGAAAGGATGCTAGTACATATGCTTGGGAGTATTACACAAGGGAGCAGCTGAGCAGAAATCATTGCCTTAAGTGTCAATGCAAGTCAAATTCATACTCATACATTATTTTTGGTATTTGTGTATTTAAGGTATGAATTAATAGGACCAGATGTTAAATAATGGGAAAGTTTACAGATAAATATGATATTTAAATCCAGACAGGTAACACTGAAGCTCATAAAATAAACTAAATTATAAGAATCTGAGCCTGTGGGGCTGGAGAGATGGCTCATTGGTTAAGAGGGGAAGAGACAGACTCTTTAAGGGATAGGACTCTCGGTAGGTTAGCCAGTCTACAGTGGATGGATGGACTCACACCGAAGGACATTTGGGGTCAGAAATTAGACTCTATAGGCCTCAATATATACACGAGAGTACAATAAATTGGGCAGGGGGCAATAAAGGGAGGTGTGGTTAAGGGAAGGGATCCAAATACTACCAAAATATAGTGTGAAAAAAATTGCAAAAATTCAATTAAAAAAAAAAGAAAAAGGAAAAAAGCAATCAATAAACTGGCAGTTGTAAATTCTATTGGAAGCTCAAGGAAAGGAAGCTAAAGCTAGGTATGGTGGCATACACCTATAGTCCTAGCACTTAGAAGGATGAGGCAGGAGGATCTTGAGTTCAAGATCAGCCTGGGATACATAGTGAGATCCTATGGCTGTAGAAGAACCTGAGGGTTATTATTTGAACTTGATTTTGAAAGAAAGGCAGGGAACTGATGCTATGCAGGGCATTTTAGGCATATTATCCCGACTTTTTAGAGATGAGGAAAATGACAATCAGAAAGTTCAAATAACAGGTTCAAGGAAAGTTACATAATTAATAAGCAGTAAAAGTACTATTTGCATGCAAGACTATGATCCAAGCCCACACTCTTTCTAAACCTAGGTGCCTCTCCCAAGTGAAGTATAGAAGTTCCTTTTGATGTTGTTGGAGCATTAACTATGATCCCAGAGGGAGGGACAACTGTCCGGCCATGATAAAAGACCCTAAATCGGTACATTCTAATCAACACTTTGCTTCTCAGGTCCACTGTACCATGTACCCTCCTTTTCTTTCCCCAAGAATGGCATTTCATTGATAAGGAAATTAATTATGAAAGCTAAATGGTATTAGAAAGATGACAATAAAAATTGATCAGGAAAGCTCTTTAACTTAAATATATATATATATAGAATTTAGGCTCAGTGTGGTGGTGCATGCCTTTAATCCCAGAGGCAGAGGTTGGCAGATCTCTGTTAAGATCAAGGTCAGCTGGGTCTATATAGTGAGTTCTATACCTGCTGGGGCTGCAGGGAGACCATCTAAAACAAACAAACAAATAAACATACACACATATACATAATAATATATATGCTTTTGAATGAATTATCTTGTCCAAATATGAAAATATTCCAGCCCTGGCAACATAGTAAAATTCTGTCTCCAAAACTTAAAAATCTACAATCTATGAAGAACTAAAAAAAAAAAAAAACCTAACAACAAAACCCCAGATCATATAACCTCAATCAATAAATAGGTAAATGAGTTAAGCACAGTTATCAAAAGAAGGCATACAAAGCCGGGCATAGTGGCACATACCTTTAGCCCCAGCACTGGCAGGCAGAGGCAGGCAGATCCCTGTGAGTTCGAGGCCAGCCTGGTCTACATAGTGAGGTCCAGGCCAGCTGGGGCTACAGGGAGACCCTGTCTCAAAAAAAAAAAAAAAGAAAAATATGAAAATGTGATATAATATCACACACAATGGAAAGTTATTCAGCTATTAAGAGAAATGAAATTATGTAATCTGCAGGAAAATGGATAGAACTAGAAATAATCACGTTAAGCA